CTTTTGGAAACTAACATTATTGGAAGCTAGAATACTCAGAAAATATTTGCTCGTGAAAACTGGTTTCAAATTATTATTATTAAATTGCCAATAAACCACCAGTTTTCATATGCTTTATTTTATCAATTACAAGACACATCTTTTTCCATATAAAAATTTCTAAAGGTTGGGAGTGTCTTAGAATCAGGTGCATGTATATAGGGTTTTTTTTTTTCCTGTTAGAGATACTGAAATTAGTGTGTGTTAGAATCTGGCATCTAAGAATTTATGAAATACTAGCCGTCCCCTGTCACGCGTTGCTGTGGCCCAGTCTGTGTATATGTGCTTTGTGTGTATATATATTTGTTTATATGTGGTTTTGCGCATGCATTGTAATGTATTTTTATTTTTTGGCTTTTTAAGTTCCTTCCGTTTTTCAGTGTTTTTATGAGTGATGGTCACTCGTTGGCCTAATAGGTGTATTGTGTCCAAATTTGGTGTCAATTACTCCAGTCGTTTTTAAGTTATGTTAATCCCACAAACGAACATTACATTTTTATTTATATAGATAGTATATAGTATCTGATTTAAAACTTGTTTTGTGTGTTATTGTTAATTACAAATTTGTGAAGAAAACTCTCTGGATTGGATTACAGGTTAGCCTTAAAAACAGAAGGGCCACCTTCTGTCTATATGTGTCTCCTAAATTAGGTTCCCACTGGTGGGAGTAACAATAATCCTGATCCCCCCATGCATCCCCTGCCCAATCATCTAGAGCAGTGAATTTTAATATTTTCTTTACCAAGGACTCCATTTAAGTATCTTTTAGGTATATTTTGTTCCCATGGACTTTTAAGATTTAAAACCCAAATATGCACCAAATATTTAAAGTTGTTCAGCAAGGGTCTTCAGATTTGGAGAAATGAGAGAAACAAGGAAATGCATGCACTCCTATTTTTAGGGGGTGATTCTATACTGATATAAAGATGCCGATTATACCTGAACACTGAACCATGGCCTCAAATCATGTATTAATTTCAATGACTCAATGAGAAGACTAGTGGTCATTTCGCTTACACTTGGCCTGTTGTACCCAAAAATTCTGCATCCACAGATTCAATCAGCCACAGCTTGAAAGAAATTCCTAAGAAATTCCAAAAGGCAGCAAACTTTCACTTTGCTATTTTATATAAGGAATAACACTGTATTGCACATTGTATATAATGGGACGAGTATCCACAGATTTGGTCTTCATGGGTGTATGAGTGTGTGTGTGTGTTTGAATCAAACCCCCACTAACACGATGGACCTACTGTATGAGTGTTATATTATAACACATCCTGATTCAATGCAGAACTCATACTCTTTTGGTCAATTAGTTGGGGAAGAGCATAATGAATAGTGCTGAACAACTATAAAACAATGCTTGTATTCAACAACAATGGTAGCCTCTTTAAATGGGAACAGTGCCACCTCCTCCTAAGAATTTTAGGACCCTTTAGTACAAGACATGTGTTCAATCAATGTCGAAACTGCAAAGTATTCCCAGGAAACAATATTGTATATGATGGCAAAGACAGCTTATTTTCTGAGAGTTACTTTTCAAAATCCTCTTACTTAAAGGAGATGTTACCGTGCGGGCCAGCACACCAGTCCCCATTGTTGATGGGACAGCAGCTCCATCTATAAAGGGGGATGGGGAATCCATCTCAGCTGTCTCCCGCTATGCCGAAACAATTCATCACAACTTCCCACCAATCCCAGGGGACAGGTGATGAAAAAGGCAACCCAACAAGACTAACAACCCTGCCTTTGTAATAAATCAACTCCTTATCTAGGATTTTCAGTAGTCTCTGCCACTCTCTTCCTCAAGCCAACCTACCCAGACCCAACATAGAGAGACATCTTGTGAAGCAATCTCTCAGCCAGACATGGGCATTACTAGCCTCTCCCCGGTCTAAATCTCCACCTTAAGGATGAGTTCTATCTACTTTTTCTCTTCTTCCCAAGAAATCTCAATATACCCCCTCTTGATACACCATGTCACTTCACTAGCCTCCCCAACGGTCTTAGTGAGCCAGCTCCTCCACCTTGCACATAATGCCTTTCAGGAAACTCCTCAGCAGACTCTCAATACTTGCTGCTATCGCCACCTGTATCCCCAGTGCCTCTTTAAACATAGTTGGGACCTCCAAACCCTCAGAAAAACCTGTTCCCTGGAGGGAAAAAGTAATGATAGTGAGTAGTCTGTGCAATCCTTCACTGCTGCCTCATGGCCTTCAATAAACATCTCTCTTCTCACTTCACTGCCACCCACTCACACACCAGCTCTTGAATACAAACACCCATCCTACTGTTGAGAGTGTCCCCCTTTCTGTGCTTCTGAGCTTTGAGCCAGCAGTCAAGTACATGCCCCTGTGCCTGACTGCTCACCCCTTCCTCTAAGCCCAACAAAAGTTTCTCTCTGTTCCTCTTCCCAGGCAAGATACCATGCTCCCACTTTCCCACCTCATCTGTTCCTTAAACTGCAGAAATATGCCAGCCTGCTTCTCTTCTCCTCACTTTCCCTCACACTCATATAAAACCTGCCTGCTCCACCTCCTCCATTCCTGTTTTGGGGTAGCAATTGGCTGTTGCACCACTGAAAGTGTGGATAGCGCCACCACTCTCCCATAAACCTGATTGGCCAGGACAGCTGCGGATCCTCTGTGAGGACATCATGGCCGCCCAGGGATCTGCAAACCACAGGTTAAAGGCTGCTGTTCTAGAGCAGCTTTATGAATATTAAAAAGGGGATATAGAGACAGTCGGAACAACAAATGGATCCCCTCAATAAGGTTGGAATCACTGCAAATAATCTCACTAGAGGGAATAAAATTGATTCAAGCCTGCTACTTATCTTTTTAAAAAAAAATATCAAAATTCAGAGAAGAATTTCTTGGTTTTAGGCGATAGTGGGAATTCCCTTTGGGGCGGGGCTTGTTCATAGATTTCTGCAACCCAGGGGTGCAACCATGATGAAAGTTAAGAATATGCATATGCAAATTGAAATCTTTAAGTACTAAACCCATATTCAGGTCAGAAATTTTCTTTTTACCTGTTTGATAAACAAGCTAAATGCCTGTTGCATTCTGCCAAATTTTAATGCTCCTCCCCACACAGTCTGTAAAAGCTGCTGCCTTTTCTAGTGTGTATGTTTTTTTAAAAAATCACATTTTGAGAATTTTTATCCTACTTTTACAAAAAAAAAAGGGGGGGGGAGTGAAAGTGCTGCAGTTCAGTGCTTACTGAATTTGCAGTGTTTCAAACCGTCAGCCACGTATACTATTAAATTCATGTGCTGTAAGGGTTAAAGCAGTCTCTTGTAGTGAGAACCGAAATGTTGTCTTCCAGTTCATGTGCAAGGGCAGAGTACAGTTTCCATGGAAACTCGTGGAATAATGTGTTTCATGTCTTCCCTTTGCATTCTGATAGTAACATATTGCTGCATGCAAAATGCTTAGAGCCAGATACCATTGTAATGGTTGCCTAAAAGGAAGCATATTTAATAATTTCAGATCCATACACATAATTTTATTTTTAATGACTGTAATTCAGAAATATGACTATGTAGGGCACCTAGTTTGATGGCACTAGATGCACATTTGATCATAGTCCTAAATTAATATTCTACAGACACACTTTAGCAATATAACCATTTTGCATCTAAGCTTGTGGTCGAGCACATTTCAGAAATCCAGTTTGCTTAATATCATGGCAGTTCACCTTTCTTTTTCTAAGGTTGTTTGGATTTTTTCCAACATAAAAGCATTTTGCTGTTAAACAAAGGAATTAAAATTATTCGGTCATTGTGAGAAAAAGAAAACCATCATTTATAAGAGCCTGGAAAAGCAAAAGGTGCTAAATGGGTGTGTGTCTCTGTTACGCAGCTGTGTGGCAGCCTCGCCCATCTTGTTTATAAGGAAAACTACAGGTTGGTCTGCCCTTACATTTTCAGGGTCCTAGAGAAATGCTACTTTCTCAGCTGGCCCATTGGGCATACTTCTCTCTGCTATGCTGTATTTTTAATGTAGAGTATAAATAGAATGTGCTGTAATGAAAGCAAAACACACATGCACACAGACTACAAACCGAGCAATCCGAGAAACTTTTCTTGGCAAAAGACATACCCTTAATTTTTTAGAGATGAGATGTTTAAGAGGAGTGTGGTCTGTTTCCCTTTTGAAAAATTAAGGATAGTGAATGCAAATGTTTGTGCGTGGGAATGAATGTATATGTGTGAAGAATTTTCACCTTTTCATCTGGCAGTGGCTACCAGAAGATGATGTCACCTTGCAGCCGATTGGCTGTTTCAGTACCTAGTGCAGGGAGGAAGAGAGAGAAGGATGCCGGCACAAATCTCTGTGGTGGATCCATGGTGTTTTCTGTCAGTTTTAGGTGGAATATTTTGATTAGTATTGAGATAGTCTATTAGTGTGGCCATGTGAGCAAGCAAGACAACATCCCAGTGCAAGGGGCAGTAGGAGCTGTCAGAGGAATGAGGCGACTGATCTGCAAACGGATCTGTGATTGTAAGTGTTAAAATCAGGGTGGAACGACTGAAGCAGGGAGTGTTAGTAGACACATTGTGGGAGGATATGTAGCAAGGATGGGAAGCATGAGTAGTTGAAAATCAATGCTTTTTTCTCTGTTGAAATGTTGGAATGAAGATAGTGAGGATGTAATTTGAGCAACAAAATAGAAGTCAACTGGGAATGTTTGCCTTGCAACAGATTTTGTCTTAGTTTGCAAAAACAGTAAGCCTTTACAATATTTTTTCATTCCCGATTCATTTGCAAAGCCATTATATTTAAATGAAACAGTTTTTTCATTTTTTACTCTTTATTATCTGTCTACAGCCTTGAAGACAAAGGACATAGAGATTATTATTGATTTTACTTGATTTTGGGGACTTCTGGTGAATACTGCTTCAAGGCACTTAGGGTTATAACTGAAGCTTTTCTCTAAAACATCCCTTGCAGATAAAAGCTTTGATGATGAGGAATCAGTGGATGGAAATAGGCCATCTTCAGCTGCCTCAGCTTTCAAGGTTCCTGCACCTAAAAAACCTGGAAACCCATCAAATGCATCAAGAAAACCAGGTTCTGCTGGTGGGCCTAAGGTTGGAGGTAAGATTGCAATCTTCAGGCTTTAATGTGCTGAGGTTTTTTGTTTGGTTTGTTCTGGGTTTTTTTCTCTCTCTGATACTGGCTCAGCCAAAATCATATTGAAGAACTTTGAAGGATAATGTTTAATTCATAACTGCAGTATTTTTTCTGGAAGGTGGGAATATGATCTTGACAAATAATATGCTTATATAAATGGATGTTCTTGTTGAAATAGATAATAATAATCCAGTTAATATAAATAATTATTATTTGGTGAAACTGTATATTTTATTTTTAAAAGTACATAGTATGTATTACTAGATCTCTCACTTTCACAAATGGAAGGAAAATGATGCAGTATTCAGTAAAATACATATGCTGGTTTTAAAATTTTGCTCCATTACTTGACATTGAAACTTCCATATTGACACAGAATAACTTTAAAATAAGTACAATAATTCCCCAGACAAATACCAAAAAACTTGATGTAAAAAATGAGGACTGTGCCAGCCAACAATTATATTCTTTTCAATGTATGTGACAATTTTCTTTTATGAACAAGTCTTCTAAATGTATATATAAATGGAATCCTCCCAGACGCATGAATTATTTTTTTTCTTTCAAAAAAATTGAAAATAGACACTTATCTATCTCTGAAATTGTATGTTTCATTTATGTAAGATATGTCTTAATTACAAATGTCAGAAGTGTGGCATCAGGTGGGATACATCAAGTATGTTGTGTGTGTGTATTTGGAGTGCATTTGCTTGTCTGAAAAATTTAGCTATATTTCTTACATTTTCTGCTCTTTAGTGTGCTTATTGTAAAAAAGTTAGTTTTGAAATATATAAGGCTTTTGTTACTTTTGATGGTAAAACACTTGAAAATTATGTATTTAAGGGCATTGAAGTAATGAGTCCAAAAGTAAGATCTAACAGTTGTAAAAAAAATCATCTTGTAGGCTTCACTGCTGTACATGTATACTATGGTCCTGCCTGTATAGAGTTGCAACAGGTGTGTCCTGGATGTGAGGTTGGGAAATATATCTAAATTTAGTTATACAATTCAGCTTGCCATACTTTTAAATTATGCATTATTTCAGAATAAACTGTTACACCTATGACAGTATTCCAAAAATTCTTTACTCATTATAATTCCTCGTGAAATTGTATCCTACATGTGTTGTCAAAAAGGAGGTGCTTAGAGCTTTCATGTAATGTTTTCCTGATTATAATACTTGTGATGTATAAAATCTTGGGGTGCATTTTGGACACAGAAGTAAACTCCCCCCCCCCCCGATCCAATTCCTACTTCTGGCAATAAAAATAATAACTTAAAATATTCCTAATCATATTGTGTGGGCAGGTACAGGTTAAATTCTTTAAACATAGGAGATAAGATATAGGAGACTGTTAGATGACCAGTGTTTCTGTGACATGAGCAAGCTCAGTTTATCATAGAAAGTTCTGTGAGGCCATAATATGCAAAATGCATAGTGGAACTGAATGCTTATGCAAAATGCATCCTAGATTATTAAAAATTTTGGAGCATTATGTCATTAATCAAGTCTGTGTATTGAATCATGTGTGTTATTAAGGAAAGGCTTTTTTTTTCATAAGTTACAAGGAGTTCCTAACAGGGCAGTATTTAGATATTGATAAATTGTTCTATGCACATGGTAAAATTATTTTTGAAATATTTCTCATAATTTGAAAATTTAGTACAAGAAAATAGTCTACTTTAAAAAATAGATATGTTATGTGGATGGCTTCCAAAAACAGTAGAATCAGTGTATTTGACATGATCAATTGAGACAGAGATTATTGAACTTTATTCTTTAGACAGCTACTTTATTTCTGTGATATGAGATGTCCATCTGTGTAAACTCATATGGAAGTCAGCTAAGCAAATAATGTGGTCAGGTTACAAGGATCTGGGAGCCTTACTTACATTGACCTATATTTGAAAATTGCCATTAGAGTAAGATTTTTAAAATGAGAGGAAAATCAGATGTCACATTCACATGTATTTTTTTTAAAATGGTAAAATATAATTGAAATTGCCTTAAGCTCCTATATTGGGAGAAAGTCATGATAAAAATTAAGTCAATAAATAAAAGAATTCATCTGGAAAATCTTTAGGTCTTTCTGCAATACCAAAACACAGTGTCATTTACTTCCTGCTTGCTAGCAATATCACAAATCTTAAAAAGTCTTTAACATTCATACCATGACATATCTTCACATGGTAACCTGATAATGTGGTTGCTGAACAGATTGAATGTTCTTTGCATGTACAGTTATTGCATATTGTACTTACACTCAACTAGGAAATTCAGAATTGTTTGCATCATAAGTGTTTTTTGCTGTTTGGTTGAATTTGTATAATGTGTTATGTTGAACTACAGTCTTTTTTCTTTAAAAAAATCCCTTCAAGAGCTATATTCCTTGAATCAACTTTCCACCATTTAGGTCAGGGGTCCTCAAACTAAGGCCCGGGGGCTGGATATGGCCCTCGAAGGTCATTTACCCGGCCCTCACTCAGGGTCAGTCTAAGTCTGAAATGACTTGAAAGCACACAACAACAGCAATCCTATTTCACAGTCAAAAGCAGGCCCACACTTCCCATTGAAATACTAATAACTTTATATTTGTTAAAATTATTCTTCATGTTAATTATTGCATTGTTTTTAAGTGTTTTTTGTACTACAAATAAGATATGTGTAGTGTGCATAGGCATTCATTCATGTTTTTTTCAGTAATCCGGCCCCCAACTGTTTGAGGGACTGTGGCCTGGCCCTCGGTTTAAAAAGTTTGAGGACCCCTGATTTAGGTGAAAGATTCAGCTCCATTGCTATCACCCATCCAACTTAGTCATTGTGAAACTTCTCTGTCTGCATGCAATAGTGAAATATGGGTTACATATTTACTTCACTCAAAGAATGCACCCTGCTTTTCCAAAATGCACCCCTTTCAGCAAATCTTCTGTCCCCTCTTTGTAGCCTATTCAGGAGGCATAAGTAATTGGTTATGCTAAGGAGAGCCAGGGAAATTTGCTTCTCCCAGTGGTATTTTGCACAATAAAAACCTTACATTTTAACTCAAGTAGTAGTGGTTTTATAAGTTTGTCCAGTATTGACCTCATATTACCGATGGGTTCAGAAATAATACAGGGTGTCTCAAAATGATGGACCCAATTTCAATGCAGTATATTTCATGATGACAGCATGATACAATTACATTAAAAGTTACAAATGGTTAATGAGTTTTCAAGTTTTACTATACATTTTGAGCCAGAAGCAGATCTAAAAAGTAATTCCACAAATGGAGAATATCTTGTTAGATCTTATGTTGTGGGGTCACCATCTTGCAAATGACTGAGGCTAGGGGCTGTTTGGGGGCTGGGAGAGGCATCTAGCATTTATTATTGGAAACTTTGCCCCACACTTTCCAGTGGTAAGAGTTTCATTTATAGGTGGTTCATGGCTGCAGGGAAATTGCTATTTCAAACTGGGGCCATCTTTTTGGACCATTTGTAATTTCAGGGAAATGAGTTTTTATGCTCCTGGCCTTGTATGTCTTTAGTGTATTAAGTGGCAAATATGTTTAAGCTCTAAATGTTTTGTAATGACATTTACATGATAGACACGAGAAGCCAAATTTCCTAAGAAATGTACAGTTAATTCTGTGTGCTGTCTCTTCACGAGTAGTACCCATGATATATGCATTTCTGTGGATCCTCTCCTATTTTAATTTGTATTTAAAATACAATACAAAAAAGAAAAGAGAGATAAGAAAGGGTGAAGCATGCGTAGGATATGATTGTGGGATTGGTATATATTTGAGTACAAGTTGACATTATATCTAAAAATATATTTTCTTGAAGTTGATGTCTGCAAAATCCATTTTTACGTATAGCTCAAGGAGTAATTTTTTGCTGGATGGTGGATGTTTATTTTTCCAGCTTTGGGGTATAAATCTTTTACTCACAGTAAAAAATGCAGGCTCCAACCAGTTGTCCATTAGTTAAATTCTAAATTTCAAGAATATAATTTAAAGGTGCATGTGCATCTACAAAGAGCAAAGTTTTACCTAATAAAATCAATAGACTGTAACTGTACACAGAGCATGTCCATCTGATATCTATCTGGATCTATCCTCAAGTGACCCAAATTATAAATTCCACAACTAGCCTTTTCCTTTCATAAAAAAGTCTGTTGCACAAAGTGCAAATTAATGTTATTTAGTTTAGCATGACCATGATCAAACTGTAACTGTCAAGAGATTGTACTGGTTCTGGCACAAGAAATAGTTGGAAGCATCATTCTTTTTCAGCGTAGAACCTAACATAGTCCAGCCAAAATAGAGATGCCAAGTAGGCTGAGTCCAAAGTCATTAATTCTAAACTATATTTTAAAATCCTACAAAACTTCTGTAGAAGTAGGTAATTGCACATGCATCTTTTTTTTAGCCATATCTTACCTTTTACCATTTGATTACTTCTCAAAATATTTGAGATGCTTGCAGAACAGCTTGAAATATACATCAGCATTAAAAGAAGTATAGAGAAATCAAGGTTAATAAGCATCAGACTTAAAATTAAATACGGTACTATGGGAATTGTTAATAGTTTACTCTCCAACTGTTTAGTGCTTTGAGATAAACATTAACTAACTCCCTGTGCTGAGGAACTACAATTGGAAAGAAGAGAAACAATTGTAATAAGATGAATATGAATAGATGAATTTTATGGAAATATGAAAAAAGAGAAAGAGGTTCATTGAAGGAAATAACATAATAAATTATCTTGTATGAGTTGCCATTTATCATACACACACACACACACACACACACACACACACACACACACATGGTATGCCTCTGAAGAAGCCAATAACCTGTGTTTTGTGGCCTTAGTGTTAAATAGAGGATGATATAAGGCAAAGCTGATATCTTTTGTTCTGTTAAATCTAAATATTTAATAAGTAAATATTTCATGTAGCCTCTATCCATTAAGTATTAAAAGGACCTTGCTATTATTATTTACAGAAATATGGAGCATACAGTTGTCATATGCATGTTGTTTAATTTGTTTATAAACCGCCAAAATGTTTATTGAATGAACTTTAGTTTTCCTGCTAATTTTGAGATTATTATATATTTTAATATTATATATTAAAATATTAAGTATTTTGAAATATCTTGTTACATTTTGTTCTATTGTATTTTTCTACATTTTTTAAAAATCAGCCCTGTGCTAATTATACACTTTGGCCAGAAAAATGGGAGACCTCATAAATATAACTGACTCTATAAGAACAAACGACTACCTGTTTCCATTCAAACATTATGCCTTCAGGAAATTTTGCAATACATTACACATGAATGCTCCCTGTGGAAAATGTATAAGGGCCATTTTCTAAGGTTCACACTTTATTCATGAGGGTCATTAGCTAGACCTGTTAGGCCATATCATTGCCTGACACAAACTGTGTCACATGAACATACCAAATACACTTCTGTGAGTACATGCTGCAGGGAAAGTAGGCAAGCTATATTACAGGTAAATATATCTACTATTACTGTAAAACTCCAATAAGAATCTCCCTCCTTCAACCCCCCTTCCCCCAACCACCATTTAAAGTCATTGAACAAGCCAAATATGTGTCTGCTAGTTAGTATATTTCCATTTTTGCAGTTTTGAAATTTTGGTTCTTATAAATATTTTTCTTAAATGTCAGCATCAGTAAAATAGAACTATAATCCTCATTGCTTATAGGCACACTTTGTGTTTGCCCAAAATACTGTGACAGAATTTCTGAGACTTCAGTTTTATTGATAACAAGTGGTGTGTTTATGCATAGTGCATAGTCACTCTAGCTTGGCTCCTCTTGTAAGTAGGAATGGTTAAAATATCTAAAAACTTAGCAAGAAAAGAAAATTATCAATATGTCTAAACCTGAAGCCTGACTCATCACTTGTCAAACAAATCTTGGTAGGTAAGCCAACTTCTTTTGGCAGAGAAGTGGGCTATACATCCATTTTATTTCAAGCTCAGGCTTCTTAGATGAAAGATAAGCCTGGATATCAGATATAGCTGTTAAGTTTTTTCTGTCCTGGTAAATTTCAAGTTGTCTTCGTTGCACCATTTTTCTAGTAGAATTAAACAGGAATGGCAGTTTTGACCTGTACACTTCTTGTTATCAGGAAGTAAGAATCCTGTTTCTTGTGATAGATACACCTAACCATATGTAATGCTAAGCAGATTTGGCGTAAGCTGAACTATGGTACATTCTTGACACCTAACACCCACACAAGTAATCACCACTTTTCATGCCTTCTGCTTCTTGTACAGGTTGCTAGTTCTTTGATCTTGAAAAAAGGTCTGCTTTCATATTGTTTTTCATTTTACTCACTCTTCTATTTCATTGAGTTAATCTTGTATAAATTGTAGAAACTTGCACCAAGTTATAAATGTCCAACCCACATTTTGGTGTCTCAGATGTTAGCTCTGTTTCTAGATATATTTGACCTGCTTATTCCAAAAATGGCACCAGTTTTCCCCCTCCCTGCTCTTGTTTTTGAGATACAAAACATATTCCATCTACCAGTTGCCATGTGCTCTTCCATAGAAAATCATGATTACCATATCTAAGAAACTAGAGCTTATGTGGTCTATCCAGTACAATTTTCTGAATCAGCAACCCAAATAACCCCAAGAACAAACCTAAAAACCTAAAAAGAATTCTTTTTTGTTAGGCTGTGTAATCTTTGCAAGATGCTCTTTTCCTGCTTTTGCTTTGTCTTTTATAAGATTCATTCTTTGTGTTTCCAGTGAAACCGGTGTTTCTGCTTTTTGGATAGAAATGCCTTTCTTCTTAATTTTTCCCTTGACTTATAGGCATGAGAGAGCTACAGTATCACTCTTGCCTCTCTGTAGGTAGCCGAAACAGAAAAAATGTGCATATTTGCTTGAATTACATAGTTTTGGGTGCAGTGTTTAGTTTTCTAGTGTAGAAACTATAGTCTTATCAGAAAAGGTTTACTTTCTCAGAACTCAAGTATTAACGTTCTTGCAAATACATAACAATGCTGTATAAGGCTTTTGCACCACTTGAATCAACTTGCACTTCATTCAAATTTTAACTTAATCTGTTTCTATTTTTATTTTAGATGCTCTTTCCTTTAAATTTTCAGTTAAAATATTATTGCTAACATTGACAGGTCCCACAAAGGAAGGAGGTGCTGGAGCCGTTGATGAAGATGATTTCATAAAAGCCTTTACAGATGTTCCTACTGTGCAGGTAAAGTTATATCTTGTAGTATTGTTGTTGATTTAAATTTGGGAAGTGCCAGATTTCACCAGTTCTTTGTTATAGTAAAGCTTGATTTCAATAATAGAATGATTGTCACTATTAACAGTTTTTAATTAAAGCACATGAGGTAATGAATACAGAGGTTTCAGAGCAGAAAATTTGAAGTTATTAATGTGACAGTTCACTTTCAAGTACTGAAGATGGTTAGCTAAACTGTTCATATAAATAATTTTTTTCTTCTGGGAAGGTTTGATATTTGAGTTAAGTATTTGTCATCAAATTTAAAACTATACATATATTTGATTCTCAGAAGAAAAAAATCCAAGTCAGTTGGCTAGTCATTTGGTGAAGGTTGTGGAGCTTCCATAGTCTCTAGTAAAGAATCTGTAGCACAAATCTCTTTACTACATCTGCTGTCTCATCGTGGCATAAGGCAACCGTGATAAGGCGGATTAATCATAAGTGGATTAAATGCATGGTAGGGGATTCCTTCTTTAGCAGGGCATAGAAAGAAGTGGTGATCAAGAACTTTTCATCTATTTCTTCTGTGTTAATATAATTCATGCAATGAAATTTTATCCCTGTTATAAATCACTTTGATTTACTACAAACTTGTATTCCTTGTCCTCAATGAATATACGTCCCTATATTTTAGGCAAAGCAGAATATGTTGATGTATGTATACTCATAAAATCAAAAGCAGTATTGCTTTAAAAATTAATACAATTGTTCTGTTCAGGCATAGTGCTAAATAATGACTTAACATTGTGGGCAAGACAAGACTCCGACAAATCTGGTTCCAACTTGTATTTCCCTCTTTTTCTACTTCTATTAGAATGGCTATGAAGAAATAAGGAACTTCTATTTTATACTGAGTTCAGTATAGGATGTTATATGAAACCTAAATTGTGGTTACGTTTAACTGTGGTTGATGAAGACAAGACGGTTTTATAAACTTTTGTTTGATGTTGACTTATTTTTGTTAGCTGTGATTAAAATTAACGCAGTTCATTCATATTGAGATAATATAGAAAACCGTGGTTAATCTTAGTCTTTGGTGGAAAAAGTCTGGTCCACAAGACACATCCAGCCCTCAAGAACCTTTTGAGATCCCCAGAGCATTCCATGTTTATAGAATTGCCTCTGTGGAGTTAAGAAAAGCTATTTTGCTTTAGAGCAGGTCTTTTGGCAAAATGCAGGATCATGAGAATAAGTTATATTCTGATAACACTGATTGAGAATTGTGGAAATTTGGGATATTCTAGAAATTGATTATACAAGTTGACCCCACACATTTGTGGCTTTCACTTTTGTGGATTTGATTATTCCTGGATTTGATTAATATGGTCCTTCTAGGAATCTCAAGGTTCTCCAGTATGACTCTGGTCAACTTTAGTTGGCTGTTGCCCATAGAGCAGGAGTATTGAACCCATTTTTACTGAAGGCCATCAGATATATTGTTGCCTTCAAAGGTCTGTTTGTAATTGTAAGACCGTATAACTGTAGTTATGATGTTCTGGCATTGAAAGCCTTGTGGGCCTCATAAAATGAAGTGGCAGGCCGAATTCAACCTGTAGGCCTTGCATTTGACACGGTTGCCATAGAGTCTCACTGACAACTCAGAGATTCCCAGAAGGGTGTTATTCAGGTTTTTTTAAAAAAAATTGTGGGTTTCCCCCCACTTTTGTGGGGGTCCTGTGCACCTACCTAACCACAGTAAATGTAGAACAATTTTATTTTCATTTAGTACAAGATTAGAGCCAAACATTGATCAGAAAGAATTTCATATCCACTATGATATTATTGTGGGGAAGAAGTGATTTCTGATTAGAAATCAGTCTACAAGTTTACAATATGATCTCCAACATGAACAAAATTTGTTCAAAATGGTGCATGAGAAAATGCATAGAGCTGAAAATGATGTACTGATGCAGTTTTACATGCAAAAAAAAAAAAAGAACTTCCCATGTAGGATGGAATATGTGAGGTTTTCAGTCTCATATAAATTGGAATGAGATTGGCAAAACAAAAAAAAAACCCTCAAGTACTTGCCAAAATTTGGCTTGTCTGATTCAGATATTCAAAACCAGCCCTGAAAGCCTGTTTTGACTTGTTTCTTTATTTTAATGCACAATTGGTGGTTGTGAGGTCCTTGGAAACCTATCAAAGTTCTAGTTAATTTTTTTTTCAAGTCATAGGTGCTCATAGTAACATCAATACAATATTTTTGATTTCCATCATTTTCTACTGCTTTAGGCCTGGGTGTGTGAAAGAGATAAAAGAAATATCTAATATACCTAATTATTTCAAACATTAGGATTATAAAGTGTACATAATCACATGTATTCCACCACATGAACACAGTGGAATGGGCATCCTTAAATTCACAATGCAGCTGTATAAAAGTCAGATGAATTGAACTACTGTATTTCATTGCATAATAGCTCCCATTGCATGATAATCACACTACCCTTTTGAAGAAGGCAAAATTGATATTTTGCTCTCCTTGCATAAAAGTCACACCCTTACTTCACTCACCCAGATGAGTGAATTAAGGATGCGGCTGCCTTTTGGCGCTACTGGACTTGACTCAGCTCTCACTCCCCCTGCTCACCTGCCCTCTTTCCATTTTGGCTCTGCTGCGCGGGTGGGTGATGTGTCACCCACCCATGCAACTACACCCTTTGTAGTTCAGAGGGAAGAGGCTGGTAGGCAGGTGAATTTTTTAGCTCAGAAAGCAGGGGCTGGAAAGCGGATGAGTTCACTCGTAGCTGAGGGGAGCCTCACATAATAGTTGCACCCCCGTAGATTATGCAATGAAATACAATAATCACAAAGACGAAATCTAACCCTAGGAAGGGAAAAAGGTGTATCCACTGAAGCTTTATTTAGGATCCTAGTTTCCACAACTACCCAAAATTTTCAAAATCTGATTGTCATGGGGACAGAAACTGAGGTGAAATCTTCTGAACATGTTTTTAACCTAAAAATTCAACTTAAGGACAGTTCTACAGAACTGCTCTACCTGTTCATAAACTGGGGATAGTCTGTAGTCCCATTTTCTAAGTAAGATTACCAAAATGGAACTCTTCAAGCTGATAACCCCACAAGTGGACAAGGGTTTGTTTTTGCTAGTTCCTTGTCCCCAGATGTGGTCTGGGTGGATGAATAGTGTTCCAGAACTGACACTCAAATTCATGCAAAGAACTGACAAAAATTGCCATCTTCCTCCAGTGTAGAGAATCCATTGAATTGTACTTCCAACCCAATGGAACAAGGTTTCCTATTCACATAGGGTCAGTTTTAGGTTTACCTCATTGCTTTTAATTTGAGATAATCTATGTACACATAAACACACAATTCTGATTTGCATATACATTTGGCCTCAAATCTTTACTATCAGTAATCCAGTCTGCACTCTGGCTTTTTTGAGCTACATAAAATTGATTTTAATTAGCCTGTTTAAATGGTGTGAAATTAAGGCTTAAACTGTATTGATGATAATTCCAGTGTGTCTTTTATAAAATTTTGAAAATTGATTTTGGGGGGGGGGGGGCATTAAGTCACCAAAATACCATCCCTATATTACTCTGTGGTGGCATAGAAAGAAGTACACAACAAGTAATTTTTCTTAAATTCCTATTTTTCTTATTTTTTTTTCCAGATTTATCTACCAAGTATCTTAGTTTTAACTGTATTTATGAGACTTGTGCACTGCTTATTCATATGCAAAGTAACTTTCAAATTATTTCTGACAAAAAGCTTGCATTTGTTGCATGGTGGAGTTAGCATTTGACTAGTTCAATATGTGTTCCATCCTTAATTTAAAAATCAATTGCTAGTAAAATAGTTAAACCATAACTGCTCAAATAAAAAAGCTAATTGCAACCAAGCAATTTCTAGCACCTTATAGCCTGTTTTAAACCTCTGCTACATATTAAATTGCATGGAAGCTACCCATTACAATTGAGCCTTTCAGTAGAAGTCCTGATTCCTGGGCATTCATGACCTGCACCATCTTTTGTTTCAAATATTCTGGCACCTACGTCTGAATGTCTCAAAGCATTTACAATCCTATTCTCTTGGGGAAAGAACTTCTTGAAAAAAGATCCTAAATACAAAATGTTCCTGATGTGCAATATAAGCTATACTTCTTTGCATGTCTGGGAACCAGCATATTTCACATTCATCATACCCTCGTACAGTGGAAGCATTTTTATAGATGTAATATTGCTTAGGACAGGTCTGCACAAAATGTAGCCCAGATTTAGTGTGACCTTCAGAAGCTTTGAGTCTAAGCCTTAGTGAGGGAGGTCACACATAGTGCTACAATGGAGTAACACTCACAGTTACTAAACTAACCTGTGGCAAAAGGGGGCACTGCTGATAGATCTGGTCAGGACTCTGGAAGTGCTGGTCTCAGTTGGAAAAAGTCTGGGAGGTTTGTTGGGCTTAGCTTGGAGTAGTGAGGAGCAAGGACGAAATGCTAAGATGTATTGGACCTTTCTTCAGGGGACGGGGAATCTTGAGTTCCAGATTATGTTAAAATTTATTTATTTATTTATTTACTGTATTTGTATACTACCTTTCTCAGCCAGTCGGCGACTCAACGCGGTTTCCAACAAATCAGTACACATAAAAACATAATACAGATTAAAACATTAAAACAGTATAAAACACAACAAGAGCAATAAAAACCACATCATTAGCGTCTCCTTATTATCAAGCATTGTCCAGTTCCATCGTCAAGTCATTCAAATTCCTATATATTAGCTACTCTGCATTTGTAAATGCTTGCTCAAACAACCACGTTTTAACCTGCCTCTGAAACGTTAAGAGAGAGGAAGCCGATCTAATCTCCCTAGGAAAGGTGTTCCATAGCCGAGGGGCCACCACCTAGAAGGCCCTGTCTCTCGTCCCTGCCAAACGTACTTGTGATGAAGGCGGGACCAAGAGCAGGGTCTCCCCAGACGATCTTGAAGTCCTTGATGGTTTGTAAGGGGAGATGCGTTCAGATTTAACATTAGAAGTGCTGAAAACCTATCTTTGGCCAAAGAGGTTTATTCTACTGTATTTTAATTTTGGCCTCTTAATACTGCTAAGTTGTGCTTAGGACATAGTTTAAGAAGTGGTATTTTGACTAGAAAGAATATGTTTCATCTCAACTGTGGGTTGATGTCTTCTTTCTGTGATGTGATGTATCAGTGCAAATGCTGTTGCAGGGCACATTTCCATTTTAATACCAAAACCACTTGGATTATTTTTTTCTAGCTTTATTTCCTCTACTTCTGGCATCCAACCTAGCGGGTTAAATCCTAGATGTCTGATATTGCTAAACCATTCATTTTCTTTATGTATCTTCACCGTGTTTTTTTGTATCTTGGATCAGAGATAGTTTCAGCTTTCTTACATATTCAACAGGGCATGCAGTTTGAGGGTAGAAGCTCAAGTTTTATAGGAAGGAAATACACAAGGGCAACTATAAAGCCGCCAAAACTGCTAAATTACAAGCCATCACTATTGCTAGTATAAGGAAGCTGTCACATATGGTAAGGGAAATCTTAGGTTATTTGTTTAGCTTGTTCTTCAACAGAAATAACCTCCTAAAGTGGTTTTGAACAAGAATAATAGAGGAACTTTTACTTTTAGACTAGCAGGGTAAAAGGCCTGAAATGAAAGGGGATTAGGAGGGAAGGAGGAAACTAGCTCCTTTATGAAGTTCTTTAAATGTTGTAGTGTAAAACATTTTTAAGTAGAAGAGAGATGAAAATTTGTTGATCTCTCATCGTAAACAGTCAGAGTCTTTATCTCTTTCTTTGCATCTAGTATTGGCCATGCTTCTGTGTTTCCCCATAGTAAGTGTTTTGCAGTGAAATGGCAAGTATGGTGATGCCCAGGCTCTGTCCACTGATTTTGAAGTTATGAAACTCACCATCCCTATCCCTAGTTTATTATATGAAAGAGAAGCCAAAACACTGGTTCAGTGACATTGTGCCAGACCAGCAGGTCATCTGACACCCTTTTCATTTCCACACTTGAAACTGGGAGCAGGACTGTACTTCATAACAAAGGGAAAGGAAAGTTCTTGCCAACCAACCACAAATCTTGGCATGTCCGACCAAGCAGCTCCAGATCTCTGGTGACTACATGGAATATTTCAAAGTATTTCCAAGGTCAAATAAGAGTCTTGACAAAATGTTACACTTATATGGTATGTCTGATTGTGGAAACTCTGGGTAGGAAATACTAACTTGAATAAAATAATTCCAAACTGCCTTTGCATCTGTGCAGTTTGGAATTATTACAGGTTGAGTATCCTAAAATCCAAAATACTCCAAACTGGACCATATGGGTGACTGAGACAGTGACTCCTTTCCTTTCTTATGGTTCAGTGTATGCAAACATTGTTTCATGTACAAAATTATTTTAAAAAATTGTATAAAATCACCTTCAGGCTGTGTATAAAGTGTATATGAAATGTTTCAAATACTCCTAATACAGGTAACCCGAAGGTGATTTTTTTATTATTCGTTTAATGAATTTTGTGTTTATACATGGGTCACATCTCCAAGATACCTCATTATAGTATATGTGCTTGTATTTAAAAATACATTTAAAAACTCCAAATCCCAAACTAATCTGGCCCTAAGCATTTTGGGTAAGGAATTCCAAACATACTTTATGATGACGAGTTTTTTTATGCATTGTTCACCAAACTTTCCAAACACTACGTTTTTTATAGTGTGTCAATTAATTCAGTGTTTAATTAATTTGATTCCCGTTTTTGGTAGGAATAAGCTTTCATTATATTATGTTGCCCTCTGTTGGCTGCCTACAAAAACAAACCATAATGTTTTACATTGCTTTTTGAAGAATATGTTTAATTGTTTATACCAGCTTGTCACACATATTTGTCTTTTCTAATGTATCATCTCAGTACACCTTTTGGTGCATTTTGTGTTGTAATGTTCAAAATTCCTTCTCTATTTTGTATCTGGGTTTTGACTGATAAAACTGATTTGGTATAATTCAATTTCTTGAAGAATGGGGTGTGACAGATAAGCTCCTTTTAAAATCTGTTCTGGTTCTCTGTTTCCCATGTTCCATTTTGAGAGTTTGGGATTAATCTATGTTGTGTCATATTTATTGTTAGCAGCCTCAAGTCTCTTTATTGTGAGAAAGCTGGGATAAAAATAAAGCAAATTAAAAAAATAACTATCCCTAAAGAGTTCTAGTCCTTTTAACTTGGGGTTGTCTCCATTCATGCTTCTGTTTTATTATGTTTTCTGAGCTTAATATAGTTTTGGCCCTTGACTACCCGTATGCAGAATTAGGGGTATAGCAGCACATATATGTTATGGATGTTTTTTGTAGATAACTGAAATCCACTGGCTATATGGTCCCAAGAAACCGTGATGACTAGAAAAATCGGAGCATTTTAGTGTGTCCAACAACACCAATTTAAGAAACCTACTTTTGAAAACTACATACCACCGTCATTATACCAATGATTAAAGGTTTGGAGTTTTCAAGGGCAGTTAAAAAAATTAAACAACTTTCCCAGTGTTTGGAAGAATGAAATTTAAATTAGATATTTGGGAACTACTGTATGAATTTTACTTCAGCAAATGGAGATTGAAAGATAGGGTGTTGCTTTCATGGGATGCTCTTGGCATTGTATTTTGAATTAGTTTGAATTACTCAGCATTAATTTTCTCTGAACTTTCAGATCTATTCAGCTCGTGAACTTGAAGAAACATTAAATAAAATCAGGGAAATCCTGTCAGATGATAAACATGACTGGGATCAACGAGCCAATGCAGTATGTATTATTAATATTAAGTATTATCTATTTCTCTTAATAAGCCACGCACTGTATTCTATGTTTGGAATCAGAATTCTTATGTTCCAACTCTTTTGTCTGTTATTCCAGCTCAAGAAGGTCCGGTCATTACTTGTTGCTGGGGCTGCACAATATGATTGCTTTTTCCAGCATTTACGACTATTGGATGGAGCATTTAAATTATCAGCCAAGGATCTTAGGTCACAGGTGGTTCGAGAAGCATGCATTACAGTAGCGTAAGTATATTCAAAAGAAACTGAAAAGTGCATTTACTAGTAGTGATCAATTTGCTGAACTGAAGAGACAGATTATTGAAAATAAGCAAAGAACCTTCCACTTCACTTACTTCCACAGTTTTAGAAAAAAGTTGCCACACAAACTGTTTGACTGCTGTAGAGGAGGGTCTTAAATGCAACTAAAGGACTTGGTAAATTTTTGTACTGCATTTTTGTTATACTGTTAGTGGCAGTGCTTATGTTTATAGCTCTTGTAGATCATTTGTTCCTAATAGCTCAAATTTGCTATTAAAGACTCAGCAATAATGTTTAATCAGAGGCATAAACAGCAATGTGAAGTGACATTTATTTTGCATAATATTAATATGCATTAGATTTTTCAAAGTCGAATTGTATTGGTCAATCAAGCAGTGATAATATCTACAACCACAGCCCCCTCAGTGTTTAAAATATGAGTGTTCAGAAATCACACTGGGCTTTGAAATAATGAGATTTGATGTATTCCCATTTATTGAGGTTTATGTTTTCAGTGCTTGTTGTAAAACATTTTGTAGACTGAAGTGTTATTTCAAGACATTTAAAAAGTTTTCCAAGTGTCAGGTTTGTGAGGTAGGCCAAGAGAGTCCCATGAACTCATCTTCCATTCCATGTATTAGTCAAAGTTACCTGAATGCCTTTCTTCAATTGTAAGATACTATTGGTTGTAAGATGCACCGTAATTTCAGTATCACCAACAAAATTATGTAAGATATACCTGCAATTCTAAGACACACCCCATTTTTGCAGGTGTTTGTATAGAAAAAACGTTTCTTAGAATTGAGGAAATGCAGATACACCTATATATATTACACACATGTTTCAGTGTGAATGTCAAACAGTGTGTATATATCAGACATGGGCAAACTAAGGCCCAGAGGCCGAATGCCCAGGCCTGGTATATATGTATAGATGTATATATACATACAATGTAAAAACTATTTGACATTCCAATGAAAGCGTGACAAAAGATACTAATATAAAGTGAAAGAATTCTGACTTCAAGAATTGCTTCCGGAACAGAAGTATTTATTTATCGTGTCAGGAGCAACCAGACATTTGTATTACATTTTTAACAAAACAAATAAACAAACAGATAAAACACAAAGTTTGCAAGCTTGGTAGTTGATTAAATGTCCTTTGACCAGTATCTGGCCACTTGGAGTGCCTCTGGTGTTGCCGCAGGAAGGTCCTCCATTGTGCATGTAGCAGGGCTCAGGTTGCATTGCAGCAGGTGGTCAGTGGTTTGCTCTTCTTCACACTGTGGAGAACAGAACAGAAGTGAACAGAGGTTACCTTTCTCTTACACAAAAGTTCAATGGTCTTTACTCCCATCTGTATACACTTCAGCAGCATAATTTATAAACGGTAGAGTCCCATTTTTTATTTAGCTTCTATTGTAAAATAGTAAATCATGCAAATATTTTTAGTACTATATTTCACTGCGTAATAATAACACTTCCCCTCCCACCTTTTTAGTCACACTTCCCCTCCTTTGGGGGGGGGGGTGCAACTATCATGTGGTGGTGACTATTATGTGGTGAAAAAAAAACCCTTTGAAGGTAGCTTTTTTTACCACACAATAGTCCCTATGCGGGAGCACCTACACAGATGGGTGACACCTCATCTGCTCCTGCGGCTGCGTCTTCGAAACTTAACTGCAGAGGAGAGAGAGGGCCAGCAAGTTTGGCTGCCTACCCCTTCCCTCCAAAAGGGAGAGGCTGGCAATCAGGCAGATACACCCAAGGCAAGCCATCATAGCTCACGGTGGAGAGGCAATTGGGTGAATGAATCCATTCGCCTCTTCCCTCCACAGCTACCTCCTGTAGCGCCAAGAGTACATTCATGGGCAGGTGAAGCTTCACCTGCCCTCTTCACATAATAGTCAAATACTTGAAGCATAGCTGCAGAGGGGAGAGGTGGGCAGCAAGTTCACCCACCCATCCCTCCCTTGCGGAAGGGTGGGGCTCAGAAGGGAGAGGCTGGTAGGCAGGTGAATATACCCAAGGCAAGCCACCATAGCTCAGGGTGGAGAGGCAATCGAGTGGGTGAACTCACCCACCTCTCCCCTCCACTGTCTTGTCCCGTAGCTCCAAGGGACAGGTATGGGCAGGTGAAGCCTCATCTGCCTCCTTCACATAATAGTCATGACCATGATCTAAGGATGCGACTATTATGCAAGGAATCCTAAAAAACCAAAATCCTGACCAAAAAAAGAAGGATGTGACTGTTATGTGATGGCAACTATTACACGATGAAATGTGGTATATCAGACCTACCTTACTATAATAGACATATGACATTCATAACCAAAACAGATTTCATATGGCTAAATGCACACCAAATCAGATAAGGAGCTGTGGTTGCGCAATGGGTGCCAGCTGAACTGTTGACCTGAAAGTCAGTGGTTCGAATCCGCGAGACAGGGTGAACCCCATCTGCCAGCTACAGCTTTCCATGTGAGGACATGATAGAAGCCTCCCACAGGCATCCCCTGGGCAACATCTCTGCAGATGGCAATTCTCTCACACCAGAAGCGAGTTGCAGTTTCCCAAGTCGCTTCTGACAGTTTTTTTTTTAAAAAACCCAAACCAGATTCCAAAAAAAGATGTATATATGACTGACAACAGCTGTAGCTTTCTGTAACACATGATTTATACTATTTCCTATGTATAAATGAAAGAAGTTGAGACTTTCATGATGGACATTTATTTCAGAAGCTTATATTTGCCGTTGTACATATAAAGTTGCTTTAATGGCAAGGTAGTTGTTTCTATGTCTATGTGTTTACCACACAGGTGGAGAATAAATCTTTCAGATTATCACTGATTCAGATTAAAGGTGAATGGCTTTCCTGCCTTGGAGAATGATTCAATGGCTTAAGCATAGTGATTCCATTTTCAGATTATGGTAGATTATTAGAGTAAATTCTTATGCGCTTCCATGAACCCCAGAGTCATCTGAACGATTGATGTTAGAAATAGAAACTGGACTAAATAGGGGCACCAGGTTGTGTTTTATAACTAGCTTTATTTACTTCTATTTCTTGCAGACATCTTTCAACAGTTCTAGGAAACAAATTTGATCATGGCGCAGAAGCCATTGTGCCTACTCTGTTTAATCTGGTTCCTAATAGCGCCAAAGTTATGGCTACTTCTGGGTGTGCAGCCATTAGATTTATTATTCGTGTAAGTATTTTCTGTATCATTCTCCATATGATGAGCATTAACTTTATTACATCTGTACATATTATGCCATAGGGATGTACTTTTTGCATTCAGACTAAACACTGTTTGTTGGTATATGAATGATATTCTTGAGTATATATTATTAGTATTTTTTTACTATGGACATTGTTTTTCTGTTAAGGAAAGAATCACAATTTGACAGTTGACAACTTCAAAAGTGAAAATAATTTGCTGGTTAGAATTGGTCATCTTTTGGGGCAGCTGAATGCCAACAGTAAAACAATTAGAAAAGGAATTGGAAAAGAAAATTGTCATTATTATAAAGCTTTTATATAAGCCAACTCTATTTGTTTATTTGTGTTGCAGCTAAATGTTTCTCACATTTTTACTAGTTATGTTAACTTCCACCAGCTTTTAACAGAGTATTGTATACTGGAAACGTTTGAATTTCATAAAACATCTCTTTGCTTATTGACTTTGTTTAGATATTTAATAAAATGCTCGCTGATTCAGTTTTTTAGATACTCAGTAAGATGCGAAACCAAAATCATATGACAGTTAATTTGTTGATAATATTATGTATAATGAGCAACATTACATTAAAATAATACTTTCTATCTTAATTTCATCCACATTATAATTTATTAAATTTTGAATTAAATAAAAGTATGAGCTTCATGCTCAATTTGTTTTGATGGCTCTTTGACAAAAATGCGAAATGATAAAGTCAGAATGGTAATTGAGATTTTGCAAATATCCTCTTCCAAGTACTCCTGGAAAATGAACTAAGCCAGGTAAATAATATGAACTAAAGTGTTCCCAGTAATAGCAACCCAGTTATAGAAGTGCTTTTACAGAGATCTTGACTGATATCATCTTAATAGTGTTTTGCTACCTGAATACTTATTATTATTATTATTATTATTATTATTATTTATACCCCGCTTTATCTCCCCTGAAGAGGACTCAAAGCAGCTTAACATAAAAACATTAGCACACCTTTTGAGTCACCTGAAACTTTTAAACAACTTGGGTTAATAAATTCCAGATTAATTTTGTGATAAACGACTTGTGGACAAATTAAGGAAACCTTTTTTTCTCTTTCAGCATACCCATGTGCCCCGACTCATACCTTTAATAACCAGCAACTGTACCTCAAAATCTGTTGCAGTCAGGAGGTGAGTATTTTATGGGTATCAAACATTGAATTGGATTCTGATTTCTTCAGAATTAGAATAAGTGTTCTAAAATCAGCGAGATTGAAGTAAATCATGACCAGTTTAAGGTTAATTAGTCTCAGTGGTCTGTTTTAAGTCCATATTATTAAGGCTGGGTCCAATATTTTTGAGTATTACAATGACTGCAAGTCAGAATTTTAGGGACTATTTTATTCCATTTCTCTCATTTGATTTATATCACCCTATTTCCAGAACTGGAGATTAGCTTTTAAGGATCTCATGCCATGGCCAAAAGTAGTGCCATGGCAATTAGAGTAGAGGGAGTGTGTCTTTTAGGCTTTCCCAGGAAGCTCTCACTTCTTGCCACTATTCAGAGATGGTTCCTTTTTTCATAAAAATTAAGGTACAGTACTTATCTATGGATAAATTGACCCAGAAGTTTTTGGTCAATTTTTGTCTAAAACTTTTAGTCTTGCACATATTTATACATACAGTAAGTCTCAACCCCCTGAGTCGTCGTCGTCGTCCCCCCCCCCCCCGAGGATTGAGAAGGGTGGGGTAAAAATACTCAAAATAAATAAATAATATAATAGTAATATAATAATAATAAATAATATAATAATAATAAATAAATAATAATATATAGTAAGTCCCATTGATCTCACAGAATCCTCTAAGTCCAAACTGCACACAGATCCTAATGTTTTAGGATTTTTTTTTCTTCCCACAAGTCTTCATCTGTTCATAGCAAGCTGAATCTGACCCTGAGGAAACAAAAGAAATTTTTATTTCAGAATAGTTTTGTTAAAAACACACTAGACATATCAATACCTCTTTGGATCCTGTCCATATATATTTGCTTATAATGTGTTAGTTTGATCTACTAGATCTTGAATTCTTATTTATTTATTTATTTATTATGACACTTGTGCTGCCCTTCTCACCCCAAAGGGGACTCAGAGCAGTTTACATGTTATATGTACATACAATATATTATATCATTAGCATAACGTAATATTGGTAATATAGATTACTATATTGTACTATACCACTATATTGTAATATTATTAGTAATATTACATGTAATATAAAATATATAATTATTTTATTGTGTTCTTAGTTAAATGTCAGGGCCTTTATCGTCTGTGGTCAATCATAGGTTTAAAACTGACTTCATTCCTTGTCTGTTCCAGGCGTTCGTTTGAATTTCTAGACTTGTTGTTGCAAGAGTGGCAAACTCACTCTTTAGAAAGGTATGATTTCTCCCTATTTTCTAGAATACAGGTAGGAAAATGTTTTTTATAAGATGAGTTATTGTTTTAATCTAACAGAAATAATTGTGGTTTTAATAGTTTCTCACAATTGGATATGCTACCTTGTTGGCTGGGATAAATCCCTCAACATTTCACTATTCTCAAGCCTATAGTCTAATGCTTAGGAGGGGGGGGGGGACTACATTATGGGTTAGTAAAGTTTGTTCAGAGTAGCTTCAAATAGTAGCTTCAAATCAGAACAGTGAAGTATTTCAAAAAAATTTCAGACTAACTAAATTATATAGGGAGGCGTTCTTGAATGTGAATTGTATAGGGGATTCTTCAGTGTCAAATGTATAGAAGTATTCAGTCTGCCCTAGTCTTAGGGCTTTTGTCCAATATAATTAGCTCTTTGAACAGAAGAGGGGTTTTTTTTGTACTTTTGTATGGAATTTGCTATATGTTCAAATTGAGTATTGCTCAAGAATAGTAGTACATTCTTGAAAGCCTCAAGTAAGGAATCTTTTAAAAGGAAATATATTTCATTTTCAACCAGCCTACACACGCAAGCTCAGCGCTGGCAAAATGGACTGGGGGTGGTATTCCTTTTTTTCCTCCTTTCTCTTCATAATATCGGTAAATCATACAAAAGGGTTATCTGGTCCCTGTGCAGAGCACCAATCCAAACCTTCTAGAGCAGTGGTTATCAACCTGTGGGTCCCCAGGTGTTTTGGCCTACAACTCCCAGAAATCCAAGCCAGAGTGCTCTAAAGAATTCAAATAGTGCCATTTATAACATTGTGACATTTTTGTGATCTTTGTAATTGTTAAGTGTTCTGATTCTTGGTATATCCATCAACAAATACCGTCCTGGTTCTGTAGGCTGTCTTTCAAAGGAAGAAATATTAATAATAAAAATAGAAGCACTTGATAAATTCATGAAAAAAAAACTAATTCGGGCAGCCTGCCTAAACATCTAGCTTGTTAGGGAAAGGAATTTCAGGTAATCATTTAACACATTGAAAAATACATCTCAAAATAATATTGATGGATTATATATAACACTTGGCCCTGGGCTTTGTCTTACAGGCATGCAGCTGTCCTTGTTGAAACTATTAAAAAGGGTGTTCATGATGCCGATGCTGAAGCACGAGTGGAGGCAAGAAAGTAAGATCCAAATATAATGTATATAGTTTTAAAATTGTAAATGCTACATAACAGGAGAAAAGAAACGTATGAAGATATAATAACCTCTTTTATGTATGCATTTGGACCACACAATTTTAGAATAGATCACACTTTTCTTTGCTAATTAATTAAATAAGAAATAGATTTCCTAAATTTTCTTCAGTAGTATTGAATTATTGTCTGTATTAATGGAAATGCTTAAATGACCATATTATATTACTTGGTTGCAGGACATATTTAGGTCTAAGAAGCCATTTCCCAGGTGAAGCAGAGGTACTTTATAATAGTCTTGAACCCTCCTATCAAAGAAGTCTCCAGACCTATTTAAAGAATTCTGGTAGCATTGCATCACTTCCACAGTCAGACAGATCGTCCTCCAGTTCACAGGAAAGCCTCAAGTAAGGAACCTTTTAAAAGGAAATATATTTCATTTTCAACCTGCCTACACACGTGGATCATTTGCTAAACCATAAAGCTGGGCATAAAACTGATGCAGATATTGGTTGACTTTACTGTGTTACTCTAAAAGGAAGTACATAATTGATAGCCATATTCTGGCGATAATACTTATGTGTAGATATATTTTTGTATTAGGTCATGTGATTCCCAAATAAATGCATAGAACTAACTACTCAGAGAAGTGTATGGGCTCCCTCAAATACTTTAAAATTATCATACCAGTAGCAGAATAATGTTGGAAAGTAAATGGTACATACACATTGAGAAGTCAGGCAAGGCCTCCATATAGAATTAATTTTAAACTTAAGTGGAAAGAGAGTGTTTTGGTTTCTACAAAACAACAAGGAACCTTGGCTTATTACATATGATTATCATGCCCGTCAGTTCAGTTAGTATGCCTTTATTACAGTCAATAAACCGTAACGCAGTAGCTCTATACATCTTAAACACATGTAGAAGAGATGTGCACACACTATATTTGAAAACATTACCAGCAAGCCATGTTGGGATAAAACAAAGGATATAATTGAAAACATGAGAGACATTATAGCAATGGCTTAATAAAATATGAGTAGAAAATTGAGTACAAAACAGATACAATTAAATTCCTTTCTCAGCCAATCAGAGAAGGCACTCAGTTTTTCTTTTGTGTTTCTTTCTCTGGTTTGTTGTGACCAAAACAAAACAAAAAACAGAGAAGGAGCTAGTCCAATGCTCAAATGATACGTTAAGGAGGACACATAGCATACTGTGTTGTCCAAACTGGCATAATATATGCATTCAAAATCTGTAATAATGTGTATTCCTAAAAAAATTTCTCTTACCTTTGTTTAGTCGTCCTATCTCGTCAAAATGGTCCACGTCCAGTTCGAGTATGGCTGGCAGAGGTAATGCTTGCATTGTGGTAATTAAAACTTCCTAATGTACTGATTAATTAAACTTTGTCTGGAATCTCAAGATTCCTTTTTGAAGGATCTTAACTGCTTAAAGGGCTGTTTGTGGTTCACAGTCAAATACATAGATTGCTTCTTTCAAGGGGATTGTGTAACTATAGTGTAATATACTCAGTTTAATTAACTTTACCTTCAGTTCCAGGGAGCACCAAGACGGTCCCAAGCCCAGGAACGCTACAGAGGTCTCGCAGTGACATCGATGTTAATGCTGCTGCTGGTGCAAAAGCACGGCATGCCATTGGCCAGCCGGGAGGAGCTGGCCGCTTTGCTGCAGCGGGTCTACCTCCAGGATCGTATGCATCACTAGGTGAGAAAGTGATACAATAATACACTGACAGAACTTAATTTTTCCTGCATTTAAATATTTTTCATTGTACATACAGAGACATTAATACAGTACCTGCCTCCTTGAACTGAAAGTCTGTTGTTGCAATTCATGATGCTATTTGTTTAAGCTGCAGTGTCTATACTTCTCAGTACTTTGTGCAGATGAACGCTTCAATGCAAAAGACTTATCTAGCATAGAGAATACTTAGGAATATTTATTAGGGAGACCTGGTTGAAACTTAATTCTGAGTAGCACGGATTGATACGTTTAGTTTCCTTCAGTAGAATGATGTACTATTGGTGTCTCAGTTGTGCTCAGTTATAAGTAGTTGCCCCTTTTTTTAAGATTCCAAAGAAGTGATTTTGCCATCAGTTTGTAAGTTGAACTAAGTGTGAAATGTATGTAATATGGTGTTTATCTTCACATGGCTATCTAACATGTATTTGATAGACACTGAATATTATTATTTTTGCAGACACTTCTCAATGTCTGCTAGACTCTTGTATCTTCTTTCTTTGAATGATTCCTCATAGTTTGTAGCAGGTCAGTTGTTAAGTGTGGGAGGGTGCATAAGAACACAATTCAGAGTCTTCACCATTCTGAAGTAATGACTGTAGAAGTAAAGTAAAGAACTGTGGGTGATTAAGAAAAAAACAGGAGACAGTTCACATCCAAAATCAAAGTTAACAAAAATATTTTTCTTCCATCCTTTGATCATATTATTTATATTCTACTTTTCCCCAGACAGGAACATAAGAGAGGGATAGAAAGATATGCCTCTCCTGCAGATCATGCAGGCTCATATGGGAAGATGCAGCACTTCAGATTACTTGGGCCTGAGTCATATAGAACTCTATAGATTTTCTTCATCTATTACTAAACAAATTAGGCAGACTTTGTCTTAAAACAGTTTCTTCTCTTGAACATTGTGATCTAAAGAACTTTGGGTTTCTCAGTTCAGGTAGCCCCTGAGTTACAAACATCCAACTTACATACGTCTCCTAGTTATAAATAGGGGTGAGACACCAGGAAGTGAAAGAAAATCTACCCCTAGGAAAGGAAATTCACTCTTGGAAGAGCTATCATGGAAAAACGTGTCTTCACTGAAGCGTTATCCTTCTTTCCACAACAACCCAAAATCTACTTGTCACAGCAACAGAAAGTGAGGGGAAATCTTCTGAACAGGGACACAGCAAGCAAAACAAATGATACAGTGGTGTTCACCCTTCACTGTGCTATCCAAAACTTACATACACACACATACATGCATGCATACATGCATGGCAGGAGTTACACTTAAACATGGATGTGCTCTGACTTACATACAAATTCAACTTAAGAAAAAACCTACAGAACCTATCTTGCTCAAAGCTCAGAGACTCCCTGCCAAGTGCTGGCAAAATTATTGCGCACATACCCTGAATACCATAATTTGTGAAATGGAAGGTGAGGGGAAAGAGTATTTGGTGCTATTGACAGTTTTTAAAATTATAGATTTGACAATTTGTCATTCAGTTTTTGTCCACAACCTAAATGGCATAATTTGCCAATTTGAACTTCCAACCAGATATGGGAAGATTAATGTAACAATAGCTGAATTGGATAGAGTATTCTTATCCAACTTTTGCCCTTGAAGAAGGGGTAGAAAGAAATTGTGAAGGTAGAAAAACAAATTGCACTCTGTTGGATGCCATTGGCTGTATCATCACATTTCCTAAGTTTTGGGGGTGTCTTTTATAGAATCTTTTTTTCAAAATAGAAAGTGATTTCACAGTCCAATCACTTCCCGTTGATTTTCAGCTCATTACTTTCAAATAAATGCCTCTACGGGTTTGTTTGGGTTTTTTTTTTAAAGGAAGGGGGAAATTCCAAAAAAGTGGTCAGTAGCACCCAGAGGTTGAAGGGGTGTTATGTGCAATTTGGTGGGGGGTTGTCTAACTTGGGAGAACTGCAGTTTAGCCACCCATACCATCAAGATTACTTGAAAAAAGTAATATCACCAATTTTACCACTAATTGTAATGCTGCTTCTAGTTAAGGGTGAACTCTGCTATTCTGTGATATCTTCTGCTCATTACAATGCCTTCTCAAGGCCTACTCATGACAGTCAAACCCAACTATTCTAAGGCAAATATGTATTATCCTACACTTCTGCTCCATTCTTAGTATACAAGGACATATACTTGAGCTTATACCTCTACTGACACAATGGGATAATGTGTAAGTGTTTCTGTTCTGGTAGCATTCAACTTTATCATCGGGGAGTATTAAATTGTAATGGCTAATGAATTTGAGAGCTGTAAGAGTAAGGATTAGGTTGAGGTGCTGGTCAGTACAATACAATGAAAGACGCCAAAAGCCTTTTATTAATATATAATATCCACCGGTAACATGTATTTTACTATGTAAGCTTTCAATATAATATTTTTTCCAGTTTCTTCTTTGTAAATTAGTAGAAAGTTGTATAGGATGGATAAATAAATAAATAAATAAATAAATAAATAAATGGAGATAATGTACCTGTAACGCTGTAGTGGGGGTAACTCCTAGTTCTTTATCAATAGTAGCAAAAATTATGTGTCTTCATTCTGCCTTTAAATTAGGGTATGAAGACAAGAAGGACACACTAGTATGATTTCTTCTTCAAGCTATTAGTTGTACCTTTCTAATAGTTGGTACCTAGTAATTAGTCAAGTTAGCAATTAGTTATATTAACTTTTGACATTCTGAACTAGGCAGAGAGAATTACATTTTTTTTAATGCTATAACATTCTTGTTAGCAGTCAATTTAGTTCAGCTGCAGAGGTCAATTACCATAGTTCCTAAATCACCAAGTGAAATATGAGAGATGGGATTCATGTGTGCTTGCAGAATGATTGGCTGCATTGAGGACTTTACTTATGCAGTCTTTGAGAAAGCACAATCTCTTGCACAATGTAAACGTAGTGCTCCAACAGTATTCTGGTTGTCATTTTTAACTACTGTATGTAACACATGTATACATCAAGGCCAGATTTTGGAACCAAAGTAATGGATTTTAATATGATCCATAGATAAGTTGAGGATCATTCCATAGAGAGTGAACTACTAAGTTTCCCCACCCAGGCATTAAAAAGGGATAGAAATTGCACCACAGCAGAGAGAATAGAAGCTCTTCAGGACAAATTAATTGGTCATATTTTGCCATTCTACTCAGAGAAGGGAATGGTTCCTTTTTTGGTAAGAGTTAAGGCACAGTACTCACATTTACCCACAGATAAGTTGATCCAAGTTCTGGGGGTTGATTTTTTGACTAAAATTTCTAAACATACATACATATACAGGGTAATTAAAATGAAAATTGTGTTGGTTTCAATAGATCTAAACTGCAGATAACTTGATCTGGATCCAACCCCATTCAACCCCTGCAATACAACTTGTTAAGTAAATCATACTGTCTATTATTACATTCAGTTTGGGCAAAAACCAAAGAAATAGTAATAAAGCTCTCAGTTTTAACAAAGATGATACCAATAGCATATTACAAATTTTGAAATTTGCTAACTTGCTAAATTAGCAAAAGCATGGCTTGATGTACAAGTGACTGTTGACTGTTCATATTAATGTTGTTTCCTTAATGAATGTTTTATGACTCCCTTGTCAACACTGTTTGTCTAACACACTAAGTTTTCCCTGTTTCTTTGCCTGCTCTTTCAACAAAGAGGATACTTCTGACAAGATGGATGGTAAGATCTTTTGTCTCATTTTCAAAAACTACTAATGAGACTTATATTTACATTACAATTTTAATGTTTGTACTTTGGAATCACCTGTTTGTATCTAACTTTCACTAAAACATTCCGTATTCATTTCTCTGTTTGTAGTACAGTACAATATCATCTTTTAATCTAACTAGTTTTTCATATTCTGAAGAACCTAATCATACTATTTTAGCCCCTTATAGTCAACTGAATGATTCATCTTCATTTTCTAGACCCATTTGTAGACTCAGTAGTTGATAGAAGTTTTCAAAAATTGATTTCTTTAATTGGTGATCTATTTTACTCTGCATTTTTAGTTTGCAGTTTTAGAGATGTACTGCTATTTACATATGCTCAGTGAGATTTCCTATGGTATATTCCTCCCTACATTCTGTAAACAACTTTCCTAAAATATTGTGAAATGTTTTGGGGAGAAAAGAAAATTTCATGTGTACAGTTTTTCAAGTAGGTCCCAAGCTGTAAATGGGCAGAGCTCTCCTTCAAGGGGAGTTGACAGAAGGGGAGGGTTGAGCTTGAAGTGGCGTTCCTGGAAGGGGGTGGCTGAGCATGCGAGTGTGTGAGTATATGGATGGATGGGTGAGCAAGCAGATGGGTGGACAAGTGAGAGACTGAATGAGTAAAGCGTTGGGCTGATGGATGAGCAAGCAGAAGGATGAGCGAATAAGCGGAAGGGAAGGCTAGACCATTTACAGTGGGGAAGTGGTCTCAGGCTTGGGTGCAACTATTATGCAAGGAATTGTGAAATACTGAAAACAGAACACTGAAAAGGGGTGAGACTGTTACGTGATGGCAACTATTATGCGATAAAATACACTATATATAATGGATATTAGAGATAAATATGTTTTGAATTGAAAATGTTCAGTATTTGTATTAAAGATGTTATGAATGCTATCTTTTCAAACTCATGAAAAAATGTTTTAAAACAGGAACGGTTGAATAAAGAAATAATTTTCACAGATTAAGTTTTTTTCTAGTGCAAGATACTGTAGAAATGTTATGCATTTTTTTCATAAATACAGTAATATTGTATATTTTAACATTGCAATACTGTCATTTTCAATCTGTGATCATAACCTTTCTCTCTTCTTAAGTCTGTTACTGTCAATGTTTTCCATCATGTTTATTATTCCAAATTCTATGAAACCTCTTCTGCAACAGAAATGGAAAAAAATATTTTCCAATATTGGTCTCATTGTCATGATTTCCAAGAGCATTCCATCAACCATGATTAAAATAATTAACACTATCCTAGTTATATTTATGTGGAGAACATAATCACACTTGTTTTTTTCTCTATATGTAGGCATAGACATATACAGTGGAATTTCTGGTGTATCTGTCTTCATAGCTTTAATCAGATTTAGTATCTAAGATATAACTTGCAAATAAAGTACAACTCATTTCAAAAATAGCTGTAGATTTAGATGTGTGAATTTGTCTGATGGTGTTGGTATTATTTCTTACATTATTCCAGATTTGTTCCATAGCTTTAGCATAACATGATTTTATGAAATAATGGCTAGAAGATACACACAACACTGCATTTTTCATCTATTGGGAATAATGATAGCTTTGGATTCTAAAAGGTAATTTCACTGAAAAATGCAGTGGACTAAAATTCATTGTTGCACAATACACTTTCTTTTGCATATGCACTCAGAAGCCAAACAATTCACTTGTCAATTATAATGCAGATAATTTGTTTGGAATATCATTGTTTTAATATTTTTCCATTTAGGAACAGCTTCTGAAGATGGTAAGAGAATACATCTTCTGCTAAAAAGCACATGCTTCCATCTTAATATTTCCATTCTCATAAGCAACAGCCTTGTACAGAGTACAGTAGTCCATTATGTGACTGTCAGGGTTAATGTATTAGTTTGCTTTCTCAATAATATTTTGCTGCTATAATCTTTATTTGCAAAACCTTATGTTATTGTTTCAGAGCAACCATTGGCAATAAAAACGTCTGGATTCTTTTATTTGAGATTTTTATTTTATTTTATTATAGTTTTGATTTTTACCTTGTCCTTGTTAAAGATGTTCAGTGACAATGTTAATATGCTTGACAGACATATTCATGCTTTTAGGAAACGGGTGCTACTATTTCTTGTGCCTTTAAAACTTTCTGTTGGTGTTAAGGTACTGCTGTATTATTAGAGTTGAGCATTTGTCCATTCGTGAATGGGTCAGGTCTTGTCAAATAGTGGTCAGATGTTTTTAAAGCAATTAATATCATGATGACAGAATACATGGTCAGTTAGCCTTTTTTACAAGAGCACCCAAAGTCAGTTTTGTACCAGTGCAATTTCCCTCCCCTCTACCCTATTAAACTTTATGCTCTGTGCGCACAGTTGCTCTAGAAACCTTTTGGTTTGAGGGAGAGGAAGCTGCTATGTGGAGGGCAGCTATTCCCTCCCATTGTCACTGAATCCCATTTTGCCAGGATATTTGCCAATACATTTATGTTTGCAAAATTTTCCATTTATTTTATCTTTTTAAACTCTGTCCTTCCTTCCAAAGAGTACGGGATTCTTCACATTTGGCGGGTGGTAGGAGTATAAATGCTCCTTGTGCAGCCCATGTGTCCCCCTGATACCAGCCTGATACTTCCCACTTGATAGTGGACTTTAACCATTTCCCAAGACAATATGGTAGGGTTATAGCAAATAAGCAGTGAAAAAACATTTGGGCTGCTAGCTTTACCAGTAACTGCAGCATGGATAGAGGGAACGATGCCATTTTTTCTGCTCTTGTTAACAAATGATAATATAATGAAACAGAAGTAAGCTTCTGTTCACATAGTGTCATTCTTGTACAGTTTTGGCCATGTCAGAGAACAGGCAGAACATTTGACTGTGTGAGATAATTTACCATTTTGGATTATTGAATTGACGGGTGTTACAACTCTTTATGCAGTACTAATGAGGAAACTTGTTAATTCGAAGCAACCAGAAAAATTGGTTCTGGTTGCCACTCTTGAGTCCCCTTCGGGGTGAGAAGAGTGGTGTATAAATATAGTAAATAAATAAATACAATAGAAGCAAGATCAATACTTAACTTCATGACAGAATGGTAGCACTCTGTATTCCAGCATTTTGCAGGTCAAAATATTTGTGCATTCACATGCCCTTTTCACCCCATTACAGTGGATGGCGGAAATTCTGTCATTGCATGGGTGTGATTGTATGGGCTTCATCCAGCCCAACCTCTTTGTGCATAATGGAATTTTATAGTGATGATACTGCTAATTAACTGAGTGAATAACTGCTTTAATACTGGCTCTCATTTTATAGACTCTCTGCGGACTTAATCTTCTACTTGGGTGACTAAAACTTTCTATAGGAAAAGTCTGAGCACTCTGTCTAATGTGCCTTTTCAATCTGCATTGGTATATTTGATTTGCATCCGTGTTTTGTTTTAATGCTCAACATTATCACTAGCAAATCTTAATGTAAATGCTGGAGTAAATGTGTTTTGGGAAGTTTCAAGAAGTATGTTGCCTCATCAGCCTCACTTCCTAATAGTCTTAATTCATGCTACTAAACTCTTCACTATAGTGGGTATTTTGTGAACGCTTTGAAACAGGTTTGATCCTTCTTTTTGTAAGAGGAGAAATACATACCTTCAGCTTCAATATGAGAGAATAGGATTTTTCTATTTTGCTTAACATTTCTTCCCTTTTCTCATCATATAGAAAGTATCTTTACCAAAGTTTGAAACTTATTTCCATGGGTATAATCATACTATAATAGACTTCCGTTCTTTAACTGTTGTTAACAGCTAAGCCAGTAAGAGAAGCAAAAACAAATACAAGATTTAAACCTGTAAGAGTAGGGGAAAGTCTGCTGTCTTAATCATGCATTAATATGTTATGCCAGAAACCAATTCACTGGGTGAGGTAATGAGCTGAAAGACTGACTACTCAAAATACACTCTAGGCAATGCTTTGTAAACTATTTGATGTAGCAAACAGCCATGTTTGTGCCCTTTGGCCACCATTGTTTCTTATTTTCTTGGAAAGTCTCCCAAGTACCAGCAGTTGATGTCTTGGAAACTCTGGCTAGTCCATGAAGCACTTTTGGAAAGTACTGCTTCAGGCATACATTCAAGTTACTGAGTAGTTGGAAATATGTTGCAATCACTATTTCTACAGTACTATCCATTCTCATAAAAACATGTAACAACTTTTCCTGCTTGATACTTTCAGTATGCTGGGCTAAATAAACATTTTAATTTCTAATTTGGAATCAGAAATAGTCGATTAGATGAGTGGCAGCCTGATCTACAGTGTACTTTACTTGCTGTGATTTTCTCCAAAGATTATTTCTCTGATCTCCGGATTTCTGTTTTTGCTTTATAGGACGTGTAAGAACCAAGCTTTCAACAGCCTCTATTGGTCTGGGAAACTCAAAGACAGATTCCAGAGGCCGTAGTCGAACAAAAGTTGTTTCTCAGTCTCAGCGTATGTAATGCTTTTTCTTTTACCTATGAATAGCATTAAACCATATGCACAAATACAAATAATTGACCAAAGGATATGGTCAAAATATAATTTTTAAAAACACTACATACTGAGTTGTTGTTCTGTGCCATAGGTTCATCATCGCCAGACAAAAATGAAGGTATTTTTTTTCAGTGTTTCAGTGTTTCGGTTCAGTAGTCTGCATGCTTTTGGAGTATTTTATAGTTCGTGTGGTGTTAACTTTAACAAGGTATAAACAGCAAGGAAGTTGCTATTTAAAAAGCAGCGTTTTAAAATAACTGTAAATGGAGCAACACTTTTGTAATTTGCATTCCAATAAAAACTGATCTACCCTATATTTCCACTAGATAGACTTCAGTATAATATGTCAACATTAATGATGCAAATGAATTTTATGGATTTAAGATAGAGAACAAGTGGATTTTACTCCAATTCAAGCAGTAATTTCCTTTATCAGGCACTTCAAATTTTGTGACATGTTGTCATTTGTCCTTGCAAGGTCATTCAAACATCCCCACAGCATTTGGCTGAATAAACATTTAATGTGGCTGTTTATTGTTTATTTTCAGCCTGATTGCCAAATATTATGCATCTAAAAATTGATGACACTTGCATTTATTTATCAGACAACAGCACCACAACATGGCTCTCAACTCAGTAAGATGACACATCACATTATATTGCATCTCTTTGCTCATTCCTAAAACCTTGGCAGTAATCATTGCAGTGAAAGCCATCTAGCTGTCACTATTGTGTTTCTCACATCTAAGGAAACCGTTACCATGTGGACTACTGAAAGAAGCTATTTGTAACTTTTGAGGGATACACATTTGTGGGGCATATTTCAATGGCCATTTCCCCCAACATGCACATTACATGGAGAGTTAGGCTAAGTCTATGGCTATGCCCTTCAAAAAGCCATTCTTAAACATAGGTATGAAAACAGGAATTGCTTTCTTCAGCCCCACTTTAATAATTTTCTAATCTTCTTAATTGCGTAAGAAGAACCTTGAAAATGGTTAAAAATATATCTTGGTGGAGGGCTGAAATTCTATTATTGTTTAAACAGTGGATTTTTAAAAATGTTTTGCAATTATTTGCTTGCTATAAACATCAGATTCCTAGCATGTACTGTTATAATAAGACTATAACCAGCATACCTTAACACTTCTTCATTTCAGCTAGAGAGATTTCTTGCACAGTTGATGACTTAGTTCCTTTTTTTACTATGACTTGCCTAGATGTTGAATGATTGGATTCTTTTTCTCTTACCTTGTGAAACCTACTTCTTTACAGTATAAATCGTGTCTTCTACCAATCTGAGACAGTATAAAACCTTAATTGAAGATAATTTTATGTAGCATAGAAATTTTATCTAAAAGCTATAATAATTAGACAAAACAAAAATATAACAAAAATCCAGCTATGTTGCACTGAAATCAGAGAACATTATGATTAGGTGGTCACTTTTTGGTTTAGCATTGGAAGAGGTGTATCTTGAGAATTCTGGTTTATTTCAGTGGCAACCAGTTTTTAATTTTGGCTCAAACCTGTTTTCCCTAAACATCTTGTCATGTTTTGGAAACTAGATAGTGATTTCGAAGCATTATAAAAGCTACATACAATGTTTGTATTTAAATTTGTATTAAAAACCTAAATATGCTGGTAATTTCATATGAATATAAAGTCTACTTGTACTTTAACTGCTTTTGGAAAGGATGTAATTTTAGGAAAGTGGTTAAGAAATAGCAAATAACTTCTACCTTCATAAAATACAGTTAGAAGTTATTTTAATACTGTACTACCTCAGCTTTGTATAAGCAATGTTTATATTAACAACATTTACGTAAGTATTGTACTCTTTGATCAATTGCCCGCAGTTCTGCAGTCAATTGAACAGTATACATTATGGCCTTGAGATCATCTGTAAGAACCATGTAGTTCCTAAATCACCAAGTGAAATGTGTGGTTCAGAATTATTGGCTGCATTGTGGACTTTATTTACGTAGTCTTCAAGGAAGCACAAGCACTTGCACAATATCTTTTATGCTAGCATAGTGCCCCTAGAGCATTAGTTTTTAATCGCTCATCAAATTACCTGAAATTGTTTTTCAAGATTTCAGGCAGTTGTTTCAAAACATTTAAGTGAGAACCCCCCCACCCCACCCAAACACGCATAAAATGTTCATCTGGAATAATGCATTCATGAGTTAGATACACTCATGTTTTTCATTGGAACTACTGATCGAAAATATGGCTTTGGTCACTAGGGACCTCTTCACACAGGATGTTTTTTTGGTGGGAGCAACAGGTTTTTGGCAGTTTTGCCATAGAGTCTGGCAACTCCCATCAACCTTGGAGAAGTACTTCCAGGGCGAAACTGGCAAAACTGCTACCGAAAAATTTCCAGCGATACACAACAGGAGGGGGGGGGGGAGCTGGGATGGTGCAGGGTGACAGGACCCCACGCCCTCTGGGCGAACGCCACCAATATCACCATGATTCATGGCAATACTCAGCGAGTCTGGCGCTGCATGTGAAGAGGTCCTTAGAGTGCAAGTAGAAGTTTAAATAGTCAGTTATGAAAATTGTTAAGTATTCATCTTCATTGGCACAGAATCACTAGGTTTTAATAAAATCAAAGTGTACAGCCAGTGTGGTGCATTGATGTATTTGGAAACTGCTGTTTTCACTTTTTATTCTCTTAACCAATTTTTCAGTTTGCATTCACTGCAAGATAGGGATGAACTTTTATTTATTCATGGCAGAGTTTTTAAAACTTTGAATTATAGTAGTAATAAGAATAAAGCTTTGAATTAGTAATAAACATTTCAGCAATAGTCAGATGGTGGACTTACGTATGATTTTCTAAAGCTGTTTCTCATCAAGAGTACATGAAAATTAGTCCAGTATGAGACAGTATGATGATTTGTTCTTTCCTTGGTGTTTCAAGCACGCAGTGAACAAAATATAAAGAAGGGCCAGGGTCACATAGATGTTACAAGGTGTGCTTTAGTCGGGCAAATATCATTAGTTGTGTCTTTAAACTTGCTTGCATGCCAAAAACAAATGTCCCTTTCCTCTGTTCCCAACTCTCACAGCTTCCCTTTTCTTTTACTGTTGAAACTTACTGTTACTTGCACTTACATTTTCTTTCAACAGATCTTTCAAAAGATCTTGAGCAAATATGCCAGTTGTTCATTATTATACAGTTCTTTATTTGATAATTGAAGAACTGTGATTGTGTGCAGCTTACATTCGGTGTGCTTTATATATGAACATCTGAGCCTGTTGACCTGGTGAAGGCTACTAAAATGCACTGCTTTTAGCGCTTGACCCTCTTGTGTCACTTCCCTTCTCTCTTATGCAAACTGACTAAAGCTTTATTTCCATTTGCCATCCATTGTTAATCTACTCTGCTCCCTCCCTCTTCATGGATTTGAAAACCCTTACCCTATTCCTGCCTTTACACTTGTTCAGGATCACAGTCTGCTAATCCACAGTCTGGTGGTAAGGCTTTCTAGATTTTGTGTGTGCATTGTTGTTTGGCCATATATCATAACAGGAGCCTCCTATTCAGCAGAAATATGAGTATATGCTAGATTATCATATGACCAAATATAGTGAGAAGATACTGATATTTTTGGAAAGGGGAGAATATGAAAAATCTGAAAGCATTGGGCTGTGAATTGAAATGAACTGAGAGGAACCTCAGGAAGAAGCTAAGTACAGATTTGGGAATCCCTTAAATGTCTGAAATGGTTACAAGTTTTTCACGAAGACCACACTGTAATAATAATTGCTTTTAATTCTGAAGACTGCTTCAGATATTGTAATCATTCTATTTTTAAAGCATGGATTGTGATGTGCAACAGTCACACATGTTTTGTGCTTGCATATGGAATTAAAGGGCCAATGAGTTAGATAAAATTAAGAGTCACACAACTGAGCTGGAAAAAGTCGACTTCCCTGCTCTTTCTTCCAGCTGTCTTAATGTGCAACACGGAAGATGGGGGGGGGGAGCTCCTCCAAAGAGTTGAACTGGGGAGTGGGAGATAATCCGCCTCAGACACTTAGGTCCTCTGAGGGGTGGCTACTCCAGCCAGGCAGAATTCAACTGGCAACCATCATCCAGAGGATCTTTTCATTGGCCGCCCCAAGACTATGGAATGACCTGCTGGAAGAGCTCCAACACCTAAATCAGTTGTCAGAATTCAGGACACATTTAAAGCCATATCTTTTCCGACAGGCCTATTCAGTCCATTTTAAACTCTGAATTATAACCTGGATTCTATTATTATTACTGCAAACTGGCCAGAAATGCCCTATTTACTCGAGTTTAAGAGCCACCGCAAACTAGCGTCTTGGGAGAGCAAACTCTGCCAGCACGCCTCTTTCTCTGCCTCTTTCTCCACCTATTTCTCCGTGGCCACGTGGTTTTCCCTTTGCTAGGGCAGCGATGCGAGCGTACTCCCGCTGTTGACAGAATTCAACAGCGAGAGTACGCTCGCATCGCTGCCCTAGCAAAGGGAAAACCACGCGGCCGCGGAGAAAGAGATGGAGTCTTCGACGTCATCGGTCGTGCTGGCACAGTTTGCTCTCCCAAGACGCTAGTTTGCGGCGGCTCTAATGTGTCAGGGATCTCTGCTACCTTAACAGAGTCCTGGAAGCTTCCCTTGCAGACAGTAGTAAGAATCCAAGCTTCCCTGTGTAGTTGTGACAGGAAAAATCTCTACTAGAACACAGGACACCACACAAGTTGTTCGTTCCAAACACAGGAAGACTTTATATATTCAGTTGTGGTACGCAAAGGTTATTTACAGCAAGTCACAGCTCTCCAAACTCCAACTAATCCTCCTAACTCCAAACACACTCCCACTCGCTTTCTCTTCCTCATCTAAGGTGATTCCCTTTTTTATTCCCTCTTCAGATCTTCAGTCACCACCTGCTGTCTGCATGGTGAATCAGCACTCTACAGATTGTTGCTAGGCCTCAGCTAGGCCTCAATTCACCATTCAGGATTACCAGAGTATAAACAAACTCTGACATAATGCTCACCTTTTTTAGGAAAATTACATTGCCAAAATTGAGGGGCCCTCACGCTTGATGGAGGGGCGTGACTTCTCAAATGGCATAATTCATGCACCCTGCCTCCCTGACATGCTATGAGAGCGCTGTTGGACACATTACATTCGAGGACATATCTATTTTTTGTCATTTGCACTATCAAAAGTTAGGTATGAATTACATTCGATAGTGCATTATACTCGAGTAAATGTGATACCTTCTGTAGGTTGAAACAGTCTGTCAGTGGGGTGACCCACTGTCATATCAGACATAATAGTGGTTACCTGGGATTTTCATAATTTAAAAAGTTAATAGATATGACCAGGATATTATTTGCACCATAAATTTGACATGGAATATATATATTTCCTAATACCCAAGGTTCAATTTATTTTATAAAAAATAAAACACAAGAATATGAAGTTAAGAATATGAATTTTGCTTTGAAAGTTAATCTGAATTGAGCAGGGCTCCTTTTACAAAGATAACCTAAAATACATCGAAAGTGTGACACCTTATTAGTGAACTGGCCACTTGCTTTTTGGATGAGAAAATCAATTTTGAACTATTGAATTTCAATGCAATTCTATTCTGAGTAATACTGCCTCCGTGGAACATATTTCTGAATAACTGAGTGTCAGATTGCAGTCTTCAAGTATTATAGAGATCAAAATTCATTTTTAAGTTGCTAAATTATACTAGTGATACACACTTGTTGGTTTTAAATTGCACCTCTTTTTTGCTGAATAGATTCCTGTCTTGACAAGCACATTCTGCTGCAGCATTTCCCAAACGTCTGATAGCCGAAGTACATCTTAATTTTTGAATTTAAAATTGTAGGCACACTTGTATCCAAAATTATTTCGTTTCAAAGTATGAAAACTGAACTGACACTCTGGCCTCAAAAGATGCTAGCTCCCGACTCTCTGTGTGCCATTGTTCTGAGCATGGCCTCAGCATTTCCCCTCTGAATAGAAAGCAAAGAGCCTGGGATAGTGACTGGTGCATATGGGCAGCGAAAATTATCTTCAGAAAACAAGTAATTCTGGTATGTCAAAAGTGTCTGGTTTGTGCCCAGCACACTGCAGAAACAAAATATCTGTTCCCTGCAGATACTAATTACAAGTAGATGCATTGGTCTGTCATGCACATGAATTGACAAAGTGTTCCGTTTGGGAATTGCTCTCCTATTACATATTATATCTAAAGGCAAACAATGCCCACTTAGCATTTGCATGGAGCATTGTCTTGCCCCATCATCCTCCATCTTGTTCCTTTTTTCCTTATTTTTTATTCTTTTGAAATGGTTTAAATGTGTAGATATTTGCATTCCTTCCATGTGAATTGCAGGGAACAGGGGTTGGGGGAGGCTTTGTAATGTTAGTCTATATTGTATTGCCTCCAAATATTAGCCAGATTTTGCATGAGAAGTTCTATCTAGTGTGGTATGCATAAAAATATCATCGTTTATTATAATATTTATGGACAACTCTGTTATGTCATAAATTAGCTCACATGAAGACACATTTATTAAAATACGTTTGGACATTCCAGGTAGTTTCAATTTTTATTAGTGAAATAAGATTTTGTGTAATGTTGAGATAAAGGAACTGAATGAAATCTTTAGTAATCAAGATACTGGAAATCTGCAGTAGGCTCTCCATGTCCATGGATTCTGCATCAACTGATTCCACTAGTCACTACTTGAAAGTATTCAGGAAAAGCAAATCTTGAATTTGTTGCACACCGAGTATTTTTATATTTTATATAAAGAACACCATTTTACTCCACCATTATATATGTGACTTGAGCATCCACAGTTTTGGGTATCCACAGAAGTTCCTAGAATAACACCAGTGATACCCAAGGCTCACAGTAGAAATGAAGGCATTGGAAATGGAAAAGTGAGTTAGCCCTCCTTTCTCTCAGCAGATGCACACAAAGCTTTAGTCCCAATTTCCAAACCATATTACTAAAGAAAATGCGTATGCGTTTATGTGTAATTTTAAAAAGCTAGCTCTAGCAAAATCACGTCCCTCCGTGCATATGCGTTATTACCATATAACATCTTCATAGATATCATCAAGGTGTCCACCAGTTTCCCAAGTTCCAGACTGGTTCTTAAAGTAGCCCAGTAATAGGGGACTATTTTGGGAAGTGGAGTTACCTGAGAACCTACTAGCCACATCTAGCCTAGGAAATGTCACCAATGTTATGAAAAATAGTTGATTTATTTCCTGAGCTGTTTCTGGAATATCCAGAGTTCTAAAATAGTTTTAGTTTCAAAAATTCAGTAATAGATCCCTAACAGTTTCACATTAGTGCCTGTTATTACTTTCGAAATTATAAAATATGTCGTTAATAATGATGCTGGTTAAGTAACCCTTTGTGTGACCTTGGGCAAGTTCCCCCTCTGCAGCCTAAGAAGGCAAAGGCAACCCCCTGCAGAACAAATCTTGCCACAAAACCCACATGATAGCATCACCACAAGTCAGAAATAACTTGAAGGGACACAACAATGACAAATGTGGTAAAGGAATCAAAATATATTAAAAGAGTATTTTAAGGCATGAATTGATGATTCTGCAAATGTATCATAACATAGAATGCCTTTTCCAGATTATTTACCAGATTATTTTGCAGATTATCTTCAGATGTTTCCAAAGAGCTTCTCAGATCATTTTGTCTAATTGATTTTCAGTTTTTAATTTTTATTAAATTGTGCAATTTATGTATAGCATTCTGGTTGTTTCCTTTTAGCTGGCAGCCGTTCCGGTTCTCCTGGAAGAGTCTTGACCACAACTACCCTCTCCACTTTGAACACTGGGGTTCAGAGAGTGCTAGTCAGCCCTGCAACTGCACAGAAGCGGAGCAAGATTCCTCGTAGCCAAGGATGCAGCAGAGAAGCCAGTCCTTCCAGATTGTCAGTTGGTAAGGCTTCTGTTACTCCATACATTTAAAAAGTTATCATATGATGGATGTCTAAATTTTCTGAACATGGGCCTAAAACGTTATACAGACAGTTCCCCAGTTACAGACAACACAGGTTCTGCAAGTTTGTTCTGAAGATCAATTTATGCGCAAGCCGGAACAGGTATTTTTTTAAAGTGTAACTCCAGCCTTTTTTTTAAATATAGTTTTGGGACAGCATAGAGAAGGGTTAACACTCCTGTAATGTTTGTTTTGCTGTCTGTGACCTTGTTCAGAAGATTGCACTTCACTTTCTATCCCTGTGATAATGGATTTTTTTAAAATGGCTTGTAATGGAAACAAGGATTGGTGGTAAAAATTCTTTGAGGCACCTTTTTCCAATGATAACTCTTCTAGGAGTGAATTTCCCTTCCTAGGGATACATTTTCCTCACACTTCCAGTTGTCTCACCCCCATTTGTAACTAGGAGTCGAATGAAAGTTGGAGGTCTGTAACTCAGGGACTGCCTGTAATTATGCCAGATCCTGAAATTTATGGTATACTGGATAAAGAACTGGGCTGTTTTATTTCATGAAAAGCTGGATGTGTAAAGGTACACTTTAGGAGAAAAATGAAAATACCTAATTTTGTTTGCTAATATATTTTCAAGCATCTTTGTGTAAGCAGCGCAATGCCTCCTCTTTTCACTAGAATTAGATGTTTTTTGATATTATAAATATTATGATAGACACTCCAATAAAGGTTTTGTTGTTCAGTTCTCATGGTTGGACACTTTTGAATGAACTTTCTTCTTGTGAAAGGTTAAACAAAATGAGATTGCATTAAAATGTCAACTCTTTCTGTGTCTTCTCCCTTTCTCTGCTGCTGTTGGTCTGTTCCCTGAATCATACTAGCGCGAGGTAGTCGTATTCCTCGACCTAGTGTGAGTCAGGGATGCAGTCGGGAAGCCAGCCGTGAAAGTAGCAGGGATACAAGCCCTGTCCGTTCTTTTGCACCCCTTGGTAAGTACACAAGAGAGCTTATTCTGCATGGCTGTCTGCCCTTCATTATGTGCTAATATAAGCTAAATAAAGGTATGCCATTTAACAAGCAAATATTCCTTGACTGTAAACAAATGCAACCAGTTTTCTTCAGCTGATGACTTGATTCATTTGAGGAGCCTAAGAATGACCTATGTAATTCTAGACTTATGGCACAATCCAGAGACAAATGTGCATCAGTTCCAAGCTTATTTTATGAGCAAACATATACTTCCGTGAACTTCTGCCATATGAGAAATTGTTTATGGTGCTTACATGCTATGTTTTCCAGTCACTTTACCAATAGATTTGCATCCAGTTCCAAACTGGTTTTGAAAATAGGTACTAAAAGAACAATACAAGCTTTCTTAAAAGTCAGCCCCTGGTAGAGAAATGCCATAGCCCTATGGAGGTAATTTAAAGCCTGGTGAATAAAGAAATGAGGAGCGGATGCTAGCCATGATCTTTCTATCAAAATTCCTATCACACACACCCAATATCTAAAAGGGTGACTTTTGAAGGGAAGAACCTGCTCTGTTTTCTAAGAGCTTATCATCTAATTTAAATCTTGCACAATCCCAAATTCCAGACACTTTTCTGTTTTTCACACTGAAGAAGACAGAAGGGATACACATGCAAAAAGCAGAGCTTGCACTGTTCTACTTCTCATGTTTTATTCAACTGACTTTTGAACACCTTTATAGAGCTTGTAATTCAGTAATAGGAATTCGCCTCTGGATTGTTCCTTGGAGCAAGTGATTCTAAAGTTGGCATTATACTTAGTATTTTTCTTTTGTTCCCATGTTATCTACACAGTTGGCCCTGTGTATCCTGCAGGTTCTGTATCCATGGATTCAACCACCTATAGCTTGAAAATACCTCCCCCCAAATCCAAAAGCAAACTTTTATTTTGCTAATTTATATAAAGGACATCATTTTAATATGCCATTGTATATAATGGGACTTGAGCATCTATGGATTTTAGTATCCACATGGGGTCCTGGAACCAAACCCTAGCAGATACTAAGGGCCCACTGTATTCATCAGCTGTTTTCCTCCATGTCAAATTATATGCATTATTATTTAGTAGGAAGATCATTATTCAATTAATTACATAATATAGCAGTGGCAATGCAGTTTCAAAAGACAGAAGGTTTTGGTACTCTTTGAGATTCATAGTCAATTAATTGTATAAATACTGCGAGTAATATATAGTATTTTTCTACTATTAATTGCAATATGGTTTGGAAATTATCACTTAAAATCCACGATAAGAAGTATACAATTCTGAACAAGTTTACAATTTCATTTCAATTCCTGTAAGGGAGAAACATCACATATATTGTGGAAAATTATGTTATCTTTACATAGTCCTTTTTTCAAATAATTGTAGTTTTTCTAGAGATTTTGTCAAAGATGTGATATTTTAGTTTATTCTGTTGATATACAACCATAAAAATGTATTATATATTTAAAAATCAAATGGAGTCATGTAGATTTTTGTCACTTGTAATCTGATAAATTGAATTTAACACCCTTGTTCAACAATTAATCAAGCTGACAACATTATTACCTTAAACAGTTTTATTTGATAGTTTCTTATTTTTATATGCTGCTTCTCTAGAAAAACTTGTAAGCAACTTTCTTTAAAAATACACTTTCTTAATATTCATTACTGCCATGCCACTGCTTTATCTCCAAGCACTAGAAATATTTTTCTGTAGAAAAAAACTTGCTTTACTTAGCATCTAGAGCCCATTCCTTGTTTTACAGATTAAGGTTTTCCCCAATTGGTTGAAAATATGTGGCTGAAGAACTGTTGCCACTTTGTTCTTTTTTAATAAGGAAATACCAAATAGTCATATTTATGTCAACATTAATTTTAACTGTAACACGTTTTATTTTAACTAGAAGGACTGTATGCTTTTGCTATACCTTTTACTAAGTTATGTCTATAATGTGGATTTCCTTGCATGCATTACATATGTGAAATTAAGTTAAATGTCAAGTCAAATATTAACATGTGATCTTCAAAACTTTGAATGAATACTTTAATTTCAATTAAATCATAGCTTCAGCATTTCTCTGGGTAAATGACATTTCCAAAGTAGATAGTGTGCATCATTAGCTTCTTGTAGTGGTTGCCCAGAAAAGGATAGAATGCTCTTTACAGAAACACATGCACTAGACCAGAGCTTCTTACACTTTTCCACTCAAAATTCCGCTTGGCCCAAGAAATGTTTCCATGACCCCAGATATATAGGTATATGAAATAAGTATACAAATCAAACTTTTACTGATAACAAATCAGTATTTTCAAGGCTTGCTAAACAAGCTGATTTCCCTTTTTATGAAGTGAAGCTGAAGCATCTTTCGAGAGTCCACTGTAAACCCTGCTCAACAATTTCGTTTTCGTATAAATGTCTAAAACAGTCACTAGGTGAAGTTCAGAAAACTTTTACTGTTGCAGATTTTTTCATGATCTTATGCTTGATCTAAGGGGACCAGAGACCCCATTCTGTGCAGTTGTCCTATACTTTGCTGTTGTAGTAACAGAGAGGGTTCACATGATCCTGTTATTGCAGCTTCCAGGCATCACTCCAGATCTACTGGTGCTCTCTACTCGCCAGATGTTTATGGGGCCACAGGTGAAGGATGAGTACACTTTGCTATCATCTGTGCCATCATCCTGGATTTTTTTTACCTTTTTTGGTTTCCACGCAGTCTGTTTTTGATAGTTTTCTGCATTCATTTGTATTAATTTGAATGTTCAACATAAACAAAATAAAAGAGTTTTTCCTTCCACCACCATCCAAGCAGTTTGTTTTCAATCATTTATGATAATTATTCATATTTTTTATTTTGTTTACTTAATGTTGTATTTTGAAAACTTCATGCATGTTGCTTTATGATGTTGTGCTATAAACCGTGTTGATTATAATTTTACTTTCATTGTATAAAATGCATCAGAATGGTGAATACATTTCAGTAGAAGACAAGTATTTGCTTTTGTTTCAGTTCATATATATTTATACTATCACAGAATCACATGAAGTAAAATTAAATAATTGCCTTTGCATTTAGTTTGTCTTTATAAAAGCTGCAATCTAACAAAATAAAATGAATGTACGGTAAGTTCTTTTCCTATATGTTTTTGCCTTCACAGTCTGACAACTAAGAGGCAAACCACTTTTAAAACTGAACTTTTGTTTATCTCTTTAGCAGCAGGAGCTGCTCTGACAAACTTAGAAATGAACTCTGACAATGACAAGCTCAGAAATGAACACATTAATTTTTAATTGTATGTACATAAAGAATGGTTTAAATTGAGGTCTGAATTAGTCTATGACAAGAGTTTGATGTTACTAACAAGATGATACTTGAATCACTTTTCCTTTGTTTATTGAATCCTGTATACTTTTGGGTAAGTTGGAGATACCAAGGCAGATTAAGAACAAATGAGATGGAATCTGTAATTGTCAGGAATTTGACTGCTTTGAAACATTAGTCATAAAACTTCCAAAACACAGCATTTTCCAGACTGTTTTGATGATTTTCCCATTTTCTTATTATGACAGGTACCGGTTTTGGAATAAGTCAGTCAAGCCGATTGTCTTCGTCAGTTAGTGCTATGCGGGTTTTGAATACGGGCTCAGATGTGGAAGAAGCAGTGGCAGATGCTTTGGTGAGTGACCTTGCCTTATCCTTCATGTGTGGATGATACAGAATAGCTTTGTAGAATTACTTAAATATATACTTTGGTATTGACATGTTCAGTTACTGATTGAACACATTACACCTTTCTTTTTCTTCTTCAAAGCAATTTTTTTAAAGGCACATTTTTCATGGGGCCTTTGATGTAAATGTTAATCCTCATTCCTACTTATAAACCTAGAATGTACACATAGCTGCATTTGCTCACCATTTCTATGGTTTTCCCTGTTTTAGACGTGAAGTCAGGATTATTCTATATTTTTCCTGTTATATTGAATTAGGTGCCTTTATGCAGTGATGAGGCTTTATTAGATCATTATGGGCAATCTTGTTTATTTATACATTGACAAAAATGGTGTTCAAAATCACTAACACTACTAAAATACAGTTGAGAGTTAAAATTTAAAAAATGATTTTGATATATTATAAAAGCAAATAAATTAAAAACAGAGATGTAGAGATAAAAAAGTTGGAATCAGCATCCAAGCATCTGCAACAGTAGACCAGCTTAAACATGACAGATTTCGCTTTTTGTCCTCGTTGAAGGACAAGAGGTTAGGTGGAAACCCTTAAAGAAGAAGTGGTTATCCAAAAGGCCTAATTTGTGTCTTTCTGAAACATGCTTTAAGTGATGGGCCAGATTGAGAGAGAGAAGTGCCCCCTCCCCCATCTTTATACGCAGGCAAACTCATATTGAAGAACATAGTCTTCAAGATGGGGCCGGGCTTAGGACAGCGGGTTAAATTGCTAAGCTGCAGAAAATCCTGCCAATTGAAAAGTAGGCAGTTCAAGCCCAGGTCAGGGTGAGCACCCACCGTCAGCCTCAGATTCCTGACCACCTAGCAAATTGAAACTAGAAATGTGAGTAGATAAATAGGTACCTCTTTAAGCGGGGAGATAATAAAAGTTACCCAGAAGGACATGCCAGGGATTTGATCAGAAGGATGTCTAAAGATAACAAAGGTCCTCAGCATGGAAGATGGAGAGAAAGAACCCCCACCCCGCAGTGGCCCGAGTCGAGCACAGCCTCCAGATGCCAGAAATGGAAAAGATGAGAAAAGGCTTTACCTCTGTTTATGTATTATCTGTCATTATTAATTGTATAATGGCATTGAATATTTGCCGTATATGTGTTCTGTAATCTGCCCTGAGTCCCCTTAAGAAGATAGAGTGGAATATAAATAAAGTATGATGATGATGATGATGATGATGATTATATTCCCAAATCATATCGGCCTTGTTGGTTATCACTGAGACTTTCTATTACATTTAGCTGTCAGAGAAAAGGAATAATTTGTAATGAGGACCCCCATCACATTAGGCAATAATCTGTTTCTATCAGTATTCATCCTGTGGGTTTTTCTGACTGAATGCAGATGGGATACATACTGACCCCATTGCACCCCAATTCTATTATTCTTACCTTCGGAAAATGCTGTGTTTCGTCCCATCACATCATGGAAGGCTGCCTCCTCCCAATCCATTTGAAAAGCTACCTATGTCAATCCGTGATCTTTTTATTTAAAAAATCTACTTCTTCACAGTGACGTAGCCTCCAAATTCCGAACTACCGCTCTTGTGAGAATTGAAAACGTACTTGTATCTGCACAGTAAATACATTTTTCTGATGGGTAGCTTTTGGCGCGAAATATGGAGTTCGGAGGAATCTAAGAAGGCATTATGATGAATTTAATGTTACAGAAGAAGAAATTGCATAGATCTTAAATCTTTTTTAAAAAAAATGAGGTAAAGAGGCATTTGCTGATTTTCTTATTCGCAGAGATCTTTTTCCTTTGATGTCCAAAATAGAAATGGCAGCTGTTTCCATAATAATAATTCAGGGGTCACAAGACTCCTCCCGCCATACCTGGTGACAGGTCGTATAGTTGCTGACGGGATGCATACTGATTTCCCAATCACACGCTAAAATAGTGTTTCAGCAGCAGAATATCATGAAGCGAAGTTTGTATACACACTGAATATCAAGTGTCATTCTCTTGACCATCTATTTGTACTGTTTCAGAGTATTTCAGAATTCTGAATAAGGGATGCTCAACCTATTCTAGAACACTATAACCATAAATCGAGGTTAATCAGTGAAATAGTGTTGCACTGTAGAAAAAAGCAGAATAATTTAATGACAATTTTGGTATGTGTTTTACACATCTTCATCCTCTAATGAAGGGCATTGGCCTTAAAAATGAGCTTGAACTTGGTTTTTTGGAACGCAGAATCATTTTAGTCTGAAATGAAGTAGTTCTCTGTAGTTACTACACCCTTGGAAGAATCCTCCCAGTGCATTCTCTATTATGTGTCCTTGCATACCTTTTGTCAGGCACCGTGCCCCAGGCAGAAATAAAAAAGTGAACTTAAATGTATTGCATTTTAAGTACAAAACTGTATTTATGCATATCCACTAGATGTCTTCTTGGCATTTTTGGTAAGCAAAATTGACTTTGCTTACATGATGAAAGCTACTTTTTTTTGGCATGTCATATCATAAAAAAGAAAAGACTAAAACAAGGAGGAATTCAATTGTCTTATTAGTTAATACGGGCTTCTGTTGAGCATTTTCATTTGGACGTCTACCAGTACTTGAATTTGTCTTGAGTACTGTTAAAGTTTTGTGTTGTTCAAATTAGTTTGCTTTTTCTTTGTGCTGCTTGGTAGAGATAGGAATCATGCTATCCATTACATGATGTTGGATTGCAAGTCACAGCAGCCCTAGCCAACACAATCAATAGTAAAGAATACATTGACCTGCAACCAAAAACATCTAGTGAGGTGCATGATTATCCCCCCCACCCCAAGGATATAGCTTTTATTTGCTTAAGAGGAGTCACCACTAACCATGCCTCCCTTGTAACCAGAAACATCTCAATAACATCTGGTAATTATACTATTCTACATTAATTAATAATCTTCTATTTTTCTCTATAATTCATTGCTCTCAGCTGTTAGGAGACATGCGGACTAAGGTATAATTCCCCTTGTTTCCCTGTCAAGTGTTCTTAAATATCAACTGTAACACTGTTTTAGCAAAACAATGTCATGTTGTCTACACATGTTTCAAGTTGCAAAAATATTGTAAATATAGTGTGAATGTAGATTGAATGGCATTTCTCTTTGTGCTGTGTTGCACCTTCACACTTACCACTTTGAGTTTGTGTGACTGCATTTAAAAAACTGGACACAGTTGGACTTGATCATCAGTTCAAGGATTACCATTATGAGCATGGTGTTCCTGCTAGAAAATATTCTGGCTTTATTCTAAGTATCAGTAGTTTTAAGATCAATGAAACTTCAGTATGTATATATAACTGTGACTTGAAGTTATGGTTGTCATAGGGTACAGAATTCCAAGTTCAGACATTACTTTTTTCTTTCTATCATATGAATGCATAGTTAGATTGAAAGCACTTGTTAGCAGGTTTAGTATCAACTATAGCAATTCTAGGGTCCCCTGATGGTGCAGCGGATTAAACCGCTGAGCTGTTGAACTTGCTGACCGAAACATCAGCAGTTCAAATCTGGGGAGTGGGGTGAACTCCAGCTGTTAGCCTCAGCTTCTGACAACCTATTAGTTCAAAAACATGCAAATGTGAGTAGAGCAATAGGTACCGCTTCGGCTGGAAGGTAATGGCGCTCCATACAATCATGCTGGCTACATGACCTAGGAGGTGTCTACAGACAACGCCGACTCTTTGACTTAGAAATGGAGATGAGCACCACCCCCCAGACATGACGAGACTTAATGTCAAGGGGAAACCTTTACCTTTACTTATAGCAATTCTAACCACAGTTAGAGAAGATTTCTCTTTATATACCAAGTGGTCTTGTTTGAGGTATTACCATTTACATGTTGAAACATATACATGAATCTGATATATGCTTCAACTGTGGAAGTGGTGGCAAGACTGGAAAGATTGAAAGTCTGTGTAGTCCTGTAAATCTTCTCTTAAAAGTCCTCTATTTTGTTCCTCATAAAATACTTTTGTACCTTAGAAAAAACCAGTGCGAAGGAGATACGAATCCTATGGCATGTATTCCGATGATGATGCCAACAGTGATGCTTCTAGTGCCTGCTCAGAAAGGTCATATAGTTCTCGGAATGGCACCATACCCACCTATATGCGACAGACCGAAGATGTGGCAGAAGTTCTGAATCGCTGTGCCAGCTCCAACTGGTCAGAAAGAAAAGAAGGCCTTCTGGGGCTACAGAATTTATTAAAAAATCAGAGAACTTTAAGGTAGGAAAAATTGGGGGGGGGGGGGGGGGTTTTCCATTTCTTGACGAAAACATCATTCTGCAGATATTTATTTTTTCTGTGTGTGCTCTTCAGATATAACAATTATAGTGTGGTATATAATGAGTCATTCACAGTCTGGTCAAAATTATGTTTTCCTTCCATTTATTCAAGTATGGGTAATTAAGAATATAATAACTCTGTTCAATTTTAATCAGTGGTCTTCCTTAGATATTAAATCTGAACCAAACCATGGCTGCTATGAGTATTCCCTAAAGCATTACACAACAAAGGCAATTTCATTATTGATAGCTTGTCTGTTCATCACACTTTTCAAACACCTATTAATATTAATTATCCGGGCAGTGCAGTTTTGTGGTGAAGTTCCCTAGTTTATTGTGCTGTGGGGTTTCAACATCCATGCTGAGACCACTCTGCCAGAACTAGTTCAGGACTTTCATTGGTCTGCCCCAAGTTGTGTCTGACCCCATCCATGCTGCATGCCACACTCTATACATAATTTTCTGAGCTGGACAGAGGGAATGGCATTTCACTGTGGACAAATTTTGCATAGTTTAGTTTTCAGGGATCAATCATTACTTTGTGGAGCTTAGACACTAGAACATCGAAATTGCAGATGTGTGGGATAGGGGGTTGAATCAGAGGTATGCCCCAGGAAATGAATGCATTGACTTCCTGATAATTATTTGGGATTTTTCTTTTGATTTGGCTGATGATCCTATCAAAGCCCTCTGGGTTATTAAAGAAGACTATAGTGTTAGATGCAGTTGTTCCTGAGCATCTCTTAGGGAGTGATGCCAACTGGGGTCCCTGATTTTGTAGGGATAGAAACAATAGTGAAGTAAGTAGTATGTAGTCTAGAGTTTCAGTGATGAAAAACTTTGGGCAGATCTGACCAAACACAGATTAAAATGTTGGAAATACTATATCATGATGGTGATGACAGTGGGGGGAAAAACACTTTTCGATCCTTGGTTCATATGCACAATGCCTTTGGGGATTTCTTGGAAACTTCAGCAGGTCAAAAATTTTACAGATAGACTGCTGACCAAGCTGCTTACAGGAAATACATAACTTACTTTATGTAAAAGCTTTATTAATAACTGGCTCATTTCCAGACACAATTCATTCTTATGCCGTACCTATTCATTTTAAAGGGATTGCTGGAAATATCTTCTTTTACATTGTCTCTAGATTAATAGATTGTTATTCACAGAGGGGTCAAAGCAAATCTCTAGTTACATTTTCTTCTTTTCCAGCATCAGATATAAAGTGTCCCATTTTTGACAATATAGTACTTTATATTGACCTACTAAAAGAGAGGTTTGCAAGTAGATTTTTTAAAATATACGGTCATGCTTATTTTATTATAGGATTTGAAAATATTATTTATTTAGTAATTCATTTCATTTATGTTCTGCCTTTGTTCTGCCATAGGGTTTAAAGAATTTATAGTGTATCTTATTGAATGTGAAATATTTCACTTGATTCTATTATTCTATAGTTTACTGATTAATATTATATCATTTTGACAGTCGTGTCGAATTAAAAAGATTGTGTGAAATCTTCACAAGAATGTTTGCTGATCCTCATAGTAAGGTATGTTTTTTGTTACTTCAGTACTGTATGTGGATATCTAGAAATCTATATATGAGTTTCAGCTCTATAAACAAAAGAAGTTTCTGTTCAGGGAAGTAAAGTTGTGATCAAGGACCCTTTCTTGAATAGAAGCTGCCTCCACTCACAAAGGAAAAAAAACTTGGATTCGATAAAAAACTAGATTTCACAAAGCAAACAAAAAGTTAACAACCAACAAAATTCAAACCAACTGCTGAGTTTAGGATCAAACGTTCTTTTTAAGAATGTCATTAGCTGTCAAAATAAATGCATGTGACATTTTTATTACCTTCAGTCAAAAATGTAAAATAGCCAACAAATTTCAAACCTATTATAATATAGTTGTAATTCATGCTTATCCAAGTATTTTATGGTGCAAATGACACATGATGAGATAAGGATTTATATTGTAATGATCTGTTTGATGGTATAAAGGTTAAATGTAAAATCTACTTTAGATGTTTTAAGGTGCATACATATAGGAGGGAGCATACATACATACTATCTAAATTCAGCATCTCTGCATTTTCAGAGAGATTTACCACCTGTTCAGGGTTCCTTTGATCCTATATGTATTTTAAAATTAATATGCATTTTGGGTAGACTGTGATGTTACTTCATTGTGCCCTCATTACAGTCAACCAAACCATCTGAAACTATACATAAATATTCAAGTGAATGCTGAGACATGTCTGTAAATGAAATTTAAAAAGTCTGCTATATTCTATTAAAATATTGATGTTGGTAGAATAAGATGGGAGGAATTATGAATATGTGAGAACTTTTGCTCATATGTCCTATATCTCGACATTATATTAATTTCCCCCCAAAACATCAGTTATTGGGATAGGATGCCCTGTGACATTCCAATTTAATCTGCAGGAACTGATTTGTAATGCCTCCAAAAATTGAAAGATGCTGTAAGACTCCTTATTTTTTACTGCAAATACATTTTAGAGTTATTTGCATGGTGAGCTAATGCTCTCACATATGGGCAACATCAGATAAAAGGTTTGCTGTATTTAAAAGGATGCTTGAAATCCAGAAGTAACCTGGATTCTTCTGAATATATGGATTTTCTGACAGTGGCCTCCCCCAACGTTTCTCCCTTTTGGATGATAGTTGAAATCTATAACATCTGGAGGCCAATGGCTTGCGGAAGCTGTATTGGAGCAAACCATACTGGATGTTTGTGTGTTCTGAAACTAATCTTTAGCACATATTCTTTATATCTGGATCCAGTTTTAGTCCTCAAATAGACCAATTTATTAAGTTAAATTCCATAGTTTTCAGTTGTTCTACTCTATGTCTGACTCAAACAATAATGTTTTTAAGTTCTGTAATGGGGGAAAAAGATTTGGTGAACTGCACATTACGTTTAGTGGTCTATGTATTTCTGTGTATAGTTATAGATTTCATTGCACAATGTATATATTTTGAGAAGACCCATGGGAATGTTGATAGAGAATAGACACAGAAGACATCACACAAGTTGTGTTTCCTCTCCTGCTTAGAAAGCCTATGCAAAGTGCAAAAAGATGAAGCGGCTTCCCTATTGATCTATCACCAAATTATAGTTGAAGCTTCGCTACTGAAATGTAGTAGAAAGTCACATTTAATAAAGGCCACCACTTGGAACATTTTGAGTAGATATTTCAATTCCTCATCAACCTTGGAAATCTGAGTGGTAAAGCAGATCTGATAGACTATCAATAAATGATAATAAATGTTGTCATATATTCTCTATCTCCCAGCTGACCCAAAGAATTTAGCCCTTTTTAATCAGGAAGTTTTCAGACTGATGGCATTGCAAATTGGAGCATCCCATCATGGAACAGTTTATGCTGTAAAGTAATGTTAAAATCTGTGAGACTTGGCCAGTACTTACAGCTTGGATTTTTTGATTTGTTACTGGATACTAGATCTAAAAAATATCTACAATTTAAGCACAGTACTTATTTAGCTTAGGAACTGATGAGGCAATGACTACTTGCTTAAGACAGAGTTTAGCATACATGTTTATTCATACAGAAATAATACTGGTACACGTCTTCTTTATCTCATTTCATATATCTTTACATCAAACTACTTCCATGAGCTCCAGCCTAAAGCCATCTCAAGTCCCTTGATTATACTGCCATATATACCTCAAGTACAAGCATCTCAAGTTAGATATGTTTGATTCACAGATCACCAATAAATGCATCAGATATTATAGAAGAGTGGAAGTCGATATAACATACCTACAGGCTATGTCCAGGAAGTGTTCTAAGTGACAATGTTTCACAACTGTATATAGTCACATGGTTATCTGATCAAACCAATGGAAGAGATGACAGCTCCATGTTTCCTGCACTGAAAGGAACAGGAAGCAACCATTTTGGCCATTAGAATTTAACAAACATAATGATTCAGCTTCTTTGTCTAATAACATAGCAATCAAGAAATCCCTGCCAGTAAAGGAACCAATTCCTGTGTGATCATTGCCATTAGTGGTCTCATAGTTAATGGCCAAGTCATTTGAAATGCTAGTATTAATGGACTTAAACTTGCTGACATTGAACATCTCATTTTACTGGGTGTTACTTCAATTTTGTCAGTTGTGCCAGATTTAGGACAAACGAGTCCCTGTGCTAAGTTAAGTTATGAGGCCCCTTATTAGGGCCCTAAAGGAGTTAGACCTAGTACGCTTACAGTGCCTACTTTGAGGCACACTCCTATAGACAATAAACTTTATCATTATGTCTGGAATCTCTCTGAAACAGAACGCCTTCAAATTTAGAATTGCATCACATAAGTAAAACCCATTATATTAAAAAAAATGACATGACGATGCCACCTGCCCACGTAGACAAAGGGGCCATGTGCTTGAGCACATCTGAGCACAGTGGTAAATCTGCCTCTATGTATACCCTTTGATTAAATCAGCCATATCTGAGATTCCATAAAAAGAAGAGAGTTCTTCAGCTGGACACCTGGCGCCAGATTTTCATACGCATTTTCCACATTGTCTTACTGATCTTCAGTCAGAATTCATCTTCTTTATGTAAGGAGAATATTCGTTTCTAAATTCCTGACACTGTCAGAAAGCCATCTCTTTATATTCTGTATGTGCTCGAAGAAGAAGAGTCATCCAATAGACTCTCAAAGAATATTTAAGTGTATAACTAGTTTGGGCCCATAGAGACTGAAGTTGCTTACCTGTAAGTTTGGTTCTTCAAATGGTCATCTCTGCTCATGCAACCCGACCTCCTCCCCTCTCTTGCAGATTTGTCTGCAAGCTGTGACATACCATGAAACTCAGGAAAGAATAGCTTTAGCACACAGGGGCATGCATGTTGGGAAGGAGAGGTAGGGTTCCTGGTAAGCTTCTCAGCTCAAGTACTTTGCATGCCATGCTCTGCACAGGTACAAGACCTATTTGTTTGAAATCACAGGTGACCATTGGAGAACCATGTTTCAGGTAAGCAACCGGTGCTTTCACTGTGCGTTTGTGTTTAAAAATTATTCCAGCTCAGTTATTATGCAACTGATTATACACCTTGAGTTGATTGAGTTCTTCCTGTAAATGCGAACGAGAAAAGAAGCCCCGTGGATGTCTCATGTTGATTTGTAGAAATTTTGTGGCAAACACCCTGGACTTTCCTCTTAATCAGTGATGTCACAAGAAGAACTTACCTATGTAGGAGATGCAGTTCACCTAACCATCCATTTTATCGTTTGTTTTTAAGGTGCCATTAGGGGTGTCTTGCACAGAAGAATTTTAACAAGAACTAGTAGCATTTCATAGGGCACCTGCTAAATTTGTTTCATGTGGAGCTCATGTATGGTTGGTCTACAAGCCTTGCACAATCTGCAGGAACATGCCCCAGATTGCATAACTCTTTTCGGTTTTCTGTTGCATGTTTCTGGAGGGTGTGAGATCTTAACGAAAATGAATGGCCTTCTAAGGTTATGTTTTTGTAGATTATGGTTCTGTGTAATGTTTCCTGTGCTTGAACTGGCACGTGTGAAAATAATCATGAGAAAAAGTAAATTTCTTCAAAAAACATAAGACAGAGACAGTAAGTAAACTTAAGTGCTTATATAGTACTTGGGGATTTGAAGACAAAGATGTTAATATTAAATAATTTAAAAAACCCATTTATTATATTTTCCTTATACAGGAACTATTTAGATGGCAACTAATTTGTGTGTTTTATCTTCCCCCCCTCCCTCCCCTCCTTTTTTTTTTGTTCTTTTTGCATGCGGTCCCCTGTGTTGGAACTCTCTGTAGAGAGTAAGTTGGTTCAATATTTGTTGGAACCTTTAACCTTGTTGCATGACTGATAATTAATCTTTTCCCTCCTCTACTTCACTCTTACAAAGATTGTGTGCAGTTTAGCTTTTGCGCTTATGAAATCCTTGCAGTTATGCAAATAATGCTGAAATGTTTTGAATGTGCTTTTGTATACTAATGTACTCACTTTTTTGATTTTCACTTTCTGCGGTGTGTAGTGGTGACTGGCGCATCTTAATTTCACAGCACCTAAGGAAAGATTTCTTGGGAGCAGAGTATAAAACACTTTCTCCCCTGCACTATCCAGTCTCAGTTTCATATTGATTTTCAAGAATTGGTTTGAGCATGCAGTATTTATCTAAAGCAGTGTGACATAAACTAATGCATTCACACCATCACTATTAATTTCACCATTTGGCTATTCTATTCCTTGAATGCATATCTTTTTAGAGACATATATATTAAGGGTTTTTTTCCAGAGGAAACAGTGATGAACACTGAATGAATTCTCTCTGTGATTCAGCACTACTAGTCACACGCACAGTTTGAAGACATTTAAAAGAAAACATCGTTAGTTTGTGGGTGCTAGGTATATGCATGTGGTTTGTAACTGAGTCATTTGTATGGGCACCACTGTTGTAAACTGTCACAACCACTCATGCTTCAGCATAACAATCAGGATTTATGAATTGCAGTATTGCATATTTATGTTTAATGAGCTTTGTCCATTTTAAATATGTGTCATGCTGTCTCCATCATGTGGAACAATCAGGCAGCACAGCTTTCAACAAACTATATGGTGGCAAGAGCAATCATACAAGTAAAAGCCAACCATTTTAGTTAGTATTTATAAAACGCAGATCTTTCCACCCAAAATTATTTTCTATTAAATTAATAGAATCATAATGATCTAAAGAAACGTGGGTTCTGCAATGAATAAAAATTAGTATCATGTTGCTCAAAATTATTTAAATTCTGCATAACCCTTAACAACCTCCATAACATGGGAGATTTCATTAATAATAGCTTATTCATTAATAAATAATGTCCAGATCTTTGAAATCTTGAAATAAAAGTCCACTGAGCTTTTCTGGTAGGTTTTCAGCTGTTGCTCTTGCTAGAAATATAGAATTGCTTGGAAAAACACTCTTTGGCTGTATTCAGGTTTTGTTTTTTTGTTTTTTTGCCAACTTTGTTCCAGAATACCTAGTAGAAAATTAGCTAGTGGACTCTTTTTATCAGGGATTTGAAAGAAAATGACTGACATATATTTTGACCTTGCTAGTGATGTAATACTCAGTGTAAGTGTAAATTGGCTGTAAATTCTTTGCAGACTTGTTGACAAAGATGTCTTGTTAGTCTCTGAATGGGAAGTTTATGTTCTCTCTTTTGTTTAAGATAGAAAATGAGAGGAGGAGTATGTGTTGCAGTGCAGGCTTTCTTGTGTGACAGTTGACTTTTCCTTTCAGCACAAAATTTAATATTAGAGTGCAAAGTATCTGTGAGATACATATTCCCATAGATCAACACTTAGGAACATTTTTGATATTCAAAGAGATGCTAAGGCTTAAATCTACTTGTTAGTCACAACTAAGGTGCCCCCGGTGGTGCAGTGGGTTATACCCCTGTGCCGGCAGGACTGAAGACCGACAGGTTGCAGGTTCAAATCCGGGGAGAGATGGATGAGCTCCCTCTATCAGCTCCAGCTCTTCATGCGGGGTCATGAGAGAAGCCTCCCACAAGGATGATAAAACATCAAATCATCCAGGCGTCCCCTGGGCAACGTCCTTGCAGAGAGCCAATTCTCTCACACCAGAAGCGACATGCTCCTGACACAACCAAAAAAAAAAGTCACAACTAGAGTATGCCAACTGAATCAGTTGCTGAGTGGTAAGTCAGTACTTGTGTAAATTCCAGGCTAGTCCTGATGTAAGCCTCCCCGAGTCCCTACGGGGAAATGGTGGCGGGATACAAAAATAAAGTTATTATTATTATTATTATTATTATTATTATTATTATTATTATTAAATTCTAATATATTTACCCAACTTGTGACTAGCACCTGGATTTATGCATTGTCATTCTAGGAATGTGATCCCTTTTTCAGCAATAGATCATTAATTTGATGTGCTTTTAGAAAAAGACACAATGGTTTTGGTCAGCTTTACAACTGTGTCACATTATTTTGATTCTGTAGCAGTGATATTCCAAAGTTTATTGGTGGCCTAGATTCCAGTTTGAAATACGTTATCTTGTATTTTCGTTACGTAAAATTGTAAATTGTGCTGTGCCGATAAACCATTTTCAATATTTTATAAAAGATTGTTAAGAAAATTACTTGCCACAGTGATATTTTATGAGAGAGAAAAACAAGTATTCATCTTCTTCAACAGGGATGATGTTTTATATAGAAAATACCCATAGGTCCACTAGAAGCTTGTTGTGGTATCTTGACATTTTAACATATGTGTGTGATGGGTCTTTGTTGTACTGTGTGTAAGACTGAGTGGATTAAAACTCTAAAACAATATTAATCTCCTGTCATGCAAGCACAAAGTAAACTCCTGAGTTAGTAATGGCTGGAGATATAAGGTGTGTGTATGTGTGTGTGAAAGAGAGAGAGAGGTTGAGACTGTATCCTGGGTAGGAATGGTGATTGGGTGTGAACCGTATATGACCATGAATGTGGGGATCCTAAATGCAACTAGATATGTTTTACTGAAGGAGCCTCTAAGTGTGAGTGAATAGAAAGATCTGCTACATTTAGTATGGATTAAGATTCTTAAAAGTTTGAGATGCATCACCTTAAACCATTTCCCAAAAATTCAGTGCAAGAGACAAAACAAAAGCGGGCAAGGGATGAGATGGGTTAGGAAGTTGCGCCAGTCATCACAGCATTTCTTTTCCCAGCGATACTGCATGTAATACTAATTGTCAGAATGGCAAATACTCTTCAATCACAAATTTTGATAAAAGGCAGAACAGAATGTTTTCCTGCTTGGCTGTGAATCATTGCCTCTGTCTGCTTCTGTGTGTCACTACTTTATTCTTTTGTGAGTTCAACACAGGCAAGCAACAACTGCTTTTCTTCCCTACTCTTTCTTTTTTTTTTCTTTTGTCCTCCTTTTTTTAATGCCTTCTCCAGGTGTTCAGCATGTTTTTAGAAACCTTGGTAGACTTCATCCAAGTCCATAAAGAAGATCTACAGGATTGGTTATTTGTGTTGCTGACACAGCTATTGAAAAAAATGGGCGCTGACTTGTTGGGGTCTGTGCAAGCAAAGGTTCAAAAGGCACTTGATATAACAAGGTAATATAGATTGTTGACTATGTAGAATTGAGTGCATTTTTAAAAAATCTATGTCCTTCTGTTTTCTTTCGAATGGTCTTTTGCCCCAAAACAAAAAGTTATAGTTTCTGGAATAAGAACTATAGAGTAGAGCATGATGTTTGTCTGTTGCCATATTGTGTATGTTATTGAAGGGGTGTTTTGAATGCAATTTTCCGGCCTCTTGGCAGGAGATTGGGCTGGATGGCCCACGAGGTCTTTTCCAACTCTATGATTCTATATTGCCAGATTTTTTTAGAATTGGCTACAATTATATCTTTCCCAAAAACTTAATCCGACTTGTGTTGTTGAAAGCTTTCATGGCTAGAATCACTGCATTGCTGTTTTCCTTTATGTTTTCAGTATCTCTAGACCAATTATCCTTACATGAATTTCTGACATAAGCGAACCTTTAGGCAAACCTGTCGCAGTGTTTTCTTAGTACTATTCACAAAAGGGTTTGCTCTTGCCTTCCTCTGAGGATGTAAAAGTGTGACTAGCCAGGATTACCCCATGGGTTTCTTCACTAATTAGGAATTTAAACTCTCGTCTCCAGAGTAATAGTCCAGACCTCAAACTACGATACCACACTGACTTTTCCTTATGTGAATAACCGACTATCTTTTCTGTACCTGGACCTTTTAAGTAGAAAGTCTCTGAAATAGTTTCTTATTTCTTCCTCCTTCCTCTGTTGTCTTAACTGGTGGTGTGGAGTAAGCTTTGACTTCTAATAAAGCATTCATTTTTGCAGGGAATCTTTTCCAAATGATCTCCAGTTTAGTATTTTAATGAGGTTTACAGTTGATCAGACCCAGACACCTAGCTTAAAGGTAAGATGTTTTGAAGTTTTCAAAGAAAGTTGGACTTGTGAAATTGTGCTCATTATTATTTTTTATTTCTGTTGCATTCTGTGTCGCTGGTTTTCAAATAGTGGGTTTTGTTTTTATAAAATTTCAGACAGTCAAGCCAGCACTGCAGGACCAGCTTCGCTCTTTTTGGAGCTCCAAGGTTTTTGTCTGCATTATTGCCTTTTTAACCCACTATGTGTAATTTTTACATTCTTAAAGTTTTATTTGAATGCATCCAAATGCAGCTACTAACCTGTGCAAGGAATTCTGAGCATGCTTTCGTCCAGTTGATGTCAAGCGTTTTGCTTCTGTTATACCGTTTGATGGTAAAGCTTACAAGAAAACACAATGAGACCAACAAAGTAGAAACAGTTGTACGGCTGCCTAACACTAAGCTGGTTATGCAAACTCACTCTATCCAGTCTTTTCTAATGTTATGTTTGTGATTTCCCAATCCTCATTTTACAGACACAGTGATTTCACTGCTGAATTTATTCCTGAGCTTTTCCCAGATGTATAGTAATTTTGCTTATTGAAAATTAGTGACCCCCTCTATTTCTAAAAAGCTTTAATATTAACATTATGTGATACGCTGAAACAAATTCAAACATTGATGCAAGGAGTGAGATACTGTAATGTCCTGGAATATTTAAAAGATTAATTATTCTCCTGCAAATGAACACTCACAGAAATTATAGCCTTAGGTATAAATGCAGCAAATGTTAAGAATTAAACTGAGGCAATTTGGGAAAATAACAAGCATATATACAACCAGCATTTTTTTCTCTATCCTGCACGCAGTAAATGTACACACTCTGTTAATAGCTTTTCACAAGGTAACACTTCTATGTCCTTGAACACAATGGCGCTGAAGTTGCACACAAATATCTCATGTCTAAAGTACAAAAAATTGTATTTTACATGCTAAAAACAGATTTTGATGTTGTTTAAATGGAAATGTTTTATTTTGGTTTTACAGCTGTCCCCTACATTTAAATTTAAAATCAAGACTGTCTACAGATAGATCAGATAGGTTCAATTGGTGTGTCTCTAAATATTGGTTGATATGCCAATTTATCCGTGAATATCATTTGTAATGCAGTGAAGTTTTATAATGTTACTGTATACATGAGGACACTGTGTAAATATTATGTACAGAAACTTATGAAAATCTGAAAAAGAAGTGTAAAACTGACTTGACAGAACTCCTTATAGTAGAAGAAAACAGCCTGCTCCATTTCTTCTTCTGCCCAGTCTAGAAAAGTACTGTTTTTTCTGATGTAAACATAACTTATTTCATTCCTAAAATAAATTAAAAGTCTTCTATTCTTATGCCATACACAACTTAGAGCATAGAACAAGAATAAATCAGGTTGGAATTAATCAGTCTTTTCCTGCCACACTCAGTGTATGTGAAACCCGACACATACCCATAGTTTTGGTCCATACAGGATTTTTTCATCTGTTGACAAAAAATATGACATTTGATTTTTGTGTACACGAATGTCTTTTCAAATGGCACTTCTTAAAACAATTGCTGAAAGGACAATGTCTGTCCCTATTCTTCACTTGCACTGCCAAAAATATTTTTTAAGAAGTGGAATGATGCAAAGAACGATGTTAGGGTGATAAAATGAAGCCTGAAGTGCTGTAGTTACTTTATTCAAGTGTAAAGCTCACCTTTTCCCCCCTAAATTACATTGCTGAAATTGAGGTATGCATTAGATCCAATGGCATGTTAGAATTGTGCACTTAAACTCGCCTGTGCTGTTGGGCAAAAGATCTTAGCTGGGGACAGAGGAGGGAGAGACAGTGCTGGCCATGAAAAGGCTGGTGGAAAGGCCTAACAGAGGTGTGCAGCTTCCCACCAGCCTTTTCGTGGTCACTACTGGCTTTCTATCAGGCCTGATGGATGAGCATTGTCTCCCATCAGCCTTTTCACAGCCACCACATCATTTGACATCAAATCTCTTTTTTTGTTGTTGTAATGCATACCTTCAAAATTGAGGTGCTCATTACTTTCAACAATGTATTATACTCATGTAAATATGGTATTCGGCTATCTTGAGAACTGTTACCGGTATTGCTGTATAAAAATATGGGATTCTAAATGAACTATTATCACAGATTCCCTCAGAGTACATTAATGAATTCATACATTGTGGTGCATCATAAACATTCACGTAGAAGTCTCTAAAAGGGGAATTTCATTGAAACAACAATTAAGATATACTGTGTACAGGCAGTCCTCAAGTAACAAACAAGATAGGTTCTGTAGGACCATTCTTAACTTGAATTTGTTAGTACGTTGGAACAGGTACAGCAAAAAGTGCACTCTTTGTACACATAATAGTTTCTGTGTGATTAGAATCCCCTTTTTAAAAACACCAATGCTTCCAAGCAATGGAAAGGAAAACCATAAACCTAGATAACCCTTCCTTCAAGGAGCCTTTCCTGTTTATCCTGCTCCTTGGGGCATACTTATGCTGTGGAATGAATGCAGTTTGACACAACTTTAACTGCCCTGGTTCATTGTTATGGGATCCTGGGAGCTGTCGTTTTACAAGGTCTTTAGTCTTCTCTGCCAAAGAATGTGCTGCCTCATCAAGCTACAAATCCCAGCATTGCATAGCATTGAGCCAGGGCAATTAAAAGTGGTGTCAGATATGAAGAAGAGGAGAGGTGGAGATTTATGGGTAAGATTGAAATATCAAAAGTAAGAAAAAGAAAAGGGGGTATAGAGATTGATAGGAAGGAAAATGAAAAGCGGTTTGGAGAAATAGATAGGAAGAACAAGGAAATGGGATTTGGAGAGATCCATAAGAAGAAAAGGGAAAAATACATATAAAATAGTACCTAATAAAAGCACAGAAAGGGAGAACAGATTAACCAAGGCCTTTTGAGTCACAACCAGGATCTTGAGAAAGGGAATGATTTAATGAGATTCTCTGTTCAAAATCTGGGAGGTTGAAAGAGTAAGCTAAGCCTTCCTCTTTTTTGCATAGATTACTCTAATCCAGTGTTTTTCAAGCTGTGGGTCCCCAGATATTTTTGGCCTTAAACTCCCAGAAATCCTAACAGCTGGTAAACTGGCTGGGATTTCTGGAGGTTGTAGGCCAAAACACCTAGGGGCCCACAAGTTAAGAACCAAAGCTCTAGGCCATCTTTCTTTGTAAGCTTACATTGGAAGGCTATATGTATTTTGCTGCTTGCAACTAGAACATAAAAGAGGAATTGGTCATGTTGGGCTATTCAGATGAAAAACTACCATATACAAGTTATGATCAAGGTGCTTTACCAGTAGTCGGTTTCTTCGGTCTTGCCCCGGAAGATTTCTTTTCAGGCATTTCTCCCTTAATTATAAGGAACAGAGAAATAGAATAGTTGTATATGTTATGGAAGAACAGTTGTGTTCTATTCCCTTAACTTTATGTGGTCTTGCCAGTAAATTAAGTTTGTATATTTCACAAGGTCCTTCTTCATTTTGACAGAACATCTCATTAGTATCTTCCAATATGTTTTTCCAGATAAATTGTCCAATTACATCAATGCTATTGGTAAAATTGTAAAAATCTCCCAAGGAATCAAGCAACTTCCTTTTTAGCCCAAAAATGCTTAGTTGCCATGCTAAAGGAGATATTTTCAGCACTTCTGCAATCTTGAGAACTTAATAGGATGTTTTTTACTTTAAAAAATGATCCTACTTTGATATTTCCAGCAGCAGTGGAAACCCAACTTTAAAAATGTTTTGCCACAGCATTTCATGTTACCTTTTGAGATAACATTTTATAGCCATTATAGAACCATTATATTATATATTTTATTAGAAACTTTTATGCTATATATAAAGTGCATTCAGAGTATTGCTCATGAAATTCCACTTGGAAAACTGCTATAAAACGTAAATATAATTATATACATTTGTGCACTAGTTCTAGAGTAGATTTTCTGAAGTTAACATGCAGTTTTCTTTTTGTTCGTGACTTTTTTGGGTTAATAAAATTAAAGTATTTCACGTGTCAAATTGCTGTATAACATATTTATTATTATAGAAACTTCTGAGATAGTTCTTGACAGATGTTTGCGGAGCAGAAATACCGTTTTCCTCCTCTTCATGACTCTTTGGATCGAAACTTCTGACCTGTGTTCGAAGAAGACAGTGCCTTGAAGTTATCATCCTGAAACATTTTATTTATCCTTTAAGAATAGGTTGATGGATGGCTTCTATGAAAAAGGAATTCTGTGCAATCCTAACTTGCTCACTTCTGACTGCTGCACTTATTTGGGTATATATTTGATTCTCCTTATTTTTATAGGTAAAAGTTGGCATTCTTAAATACATAGAGACTCTTGCACAGCAGATGGACCCAGGAGATTTTGTAAATTCAAGTGAAACCCGTCTGGCAGTCTCTCGAATTATCACTTGGACAACAGAACCTAAAAGTTCGGATGTTAGAAAGGTATTTCTATTTGTATTAACATATGTTCAAAATGCTTCTTGATAGTATTTTAATGCTTTATGTCTATGTAGCCATATAGAGTTCAGGTTGTGGATAATGTACAGATAGTAGGAGCTCAATAGGAAAAGCCAGTCTTTTCCTATGTTTTTTTCCTACAATTATAAAACCCTCTCTTTAAAAAAATACATCCTTCAGGACATTCCATGGCAGTAGTAAATTCCCTTTACTACTAGGCAATGTCCTAGAATTAGTTAGGTCAACAGAACAAGGGTCTTCGAGATCTCTCAGTAACACAAAGGTTATTGGAGGACCTTGTCATCTTGCATTTCAGTCTTTTCCACAATTGCTAGTAGCCTGTAATAGAGGCTCCTCTCTCTAGGATTGGAAGTAATGTTGGGCCAATTTAATCTAACCATGTGTCTCAGCTTTCTTGGACTATTTGCTACAGCAGCGCTGGGCAACTGATAGATCTCAAGGCCAGTTTTCTGCCTTGGAAATCCGTAGTATCTACATTATTGTGTGCCTTCAGTTGTTTTCAGCTTGTGCTGACCCTAATGGGGTTTTCATGGCAAAATTTATTCAGACGGGGTTTGTCCTTGCCTTCCTCCAAGAGTGAGAATATGACTTGTTCAAGATCACCCAGTGGGATTGCTTAACTGAGTGGAGAGTCGAACCCTAGTCTCCAGAGTCAGATTACTGAGTTTTTTTTCTTTGTGTCAGGAGCGACTTGAGAAACCGCAAGTCGCTTCTGGTGTGAGAGAACTGGCTGTCTGCAAGGATGTTGCCCAGGGGACTCCTGGATGTTTTACCATCCTGTGGGAGGCTTCTCTTATGAGAAGCTGGAGCTGACAGAAAGGAGCTCACCCTGTCTTACAGATTCGAACAGCTGACCTTCAGGTCAGCAGTTCAGCCGATACAAGAGTTTAACCAATTACGCCACAACAACTCCTCAGTAGGTGCAATTGAAATATCCAAATACTTGACTGGTAATTACAGAGATACATTATTTCATTGTTTGGAGAGAGTCTAATGAGTGCGAATGCTTTTTTGGAAATGCATCTTCACTATCATCTTCACAAGAGTTTAACCCATTGCACTACCGAGGGCTTCCACTAGGAGGAAGCGATTACTGGTCAGACCACTACACCACACTGCCTTAATGTCTCCATTGATAGTTTAAATGCTCCCAAACCTCCTCAAATAGAAGTCCACTTCTGCATTTGTAAAATGTGTGTTTTATGTTAAATACTTTGCCAAGGTTGCACTGTTTAGAAGAAGGGACAGGTCTCCCTCTTTTAAACCAGAAAAATGACGGCCAACAGGTTTTGTGAGGTTGAGGTCACAGAAACAGGCTTGAGTGGTATACTTTGCCCTCATATGCTAAAAGTTTGGCAATACATATGAATGACAGCTACATCCCACTATTTAGGACAAATAAGGGCTAATGTAGGTCATGGAACCTGATGAACCTCACACATAATTTCCCATGCAGTACCTGCTATTGGACAAATTTAATATAATTGATTTAAATATCATGTTCCAATCAGAATGTAAATGATCCCAGAATTATTCCAGTTAAACATAAATATACATTGCATTTGGAATATAATAAAAAGATATATACTTTGAAAGGCAAATTATTTGATGGATTGGGTCCCATAATATTAATTGTAATTGGGCTAGTAAGATACCCTGGAGGTGAAATCTTGGCCTCTAGAGGGGAGAAAACCTAGAAAAATTGTGAGGTACTATGCTCCTTGTAATTTGTTGTGGAGACACACTGAACCTCAGACATGTTATAATTTATATGTGTTTTTCAAACTAAATGGTTTTTAAATGCATTATTTGAAGGAAAATTAACTTGATAGGTAAAACATATTCTTGCAGCCCAGCGGAGCCCTTCAGTGCCTTGATGCTATTTTCTGTAACCTACTGAGTAGCTTTTGGAGAAAGAATTGAATTCTGCTAGATGTTTTCCTGTTCTCTTTCACAGAAAGTAATTAACAACTTGTTGATCTATGAGGCATTTAAAAAATGAGAAGTGGAGAAACCTTAAACTTTCATAGTTGTAGGGAAATATATGGCATATGCAGTGATTCAGATTTTTTTTCTTTTTCCATTATTTGAATAAAGCATGCCCATGTATTATGCAAGAGATCAATTCCAGAACCCTTCTCATAATATGATTCTCATGTAATTTGGAATCCCATTTATCTTAACTGAAATGGATTTCTAGTCGAAACATATCATAGAATTACTTTGGAAGACTTAAAATGCATGGAGAAGTGTTCTCTTTAGGCCTCAGGCACAGTTATTTGATCAGCTTCTGCCAGAACTTGACTATAGAATCAGACTGGAGGCTAAGACTCTTCTCCAGGCTTTTTCTAGATCCTCCAAAATGATCCTATGGTATGGAGAAGCCTTCACATATAAGCTCTTCACAGTAAGCTTGAATAATAAGCAAACCTTATTATGTTTCAGCTCAGTTTGTGAAACTTTGCCTGATATAAAATGTTGAGACTCAGATTGTCAGATTTAATTCTTTGCCAGCCAAAATGTGTCCGTTTTCTATCATGCCTCTGTTGGAATGACCCTTGACAGCTGACTAGGATCCTTATTGTTAATATATTTATTAAGTATTTATTGTAATGAATTGATCTTTTTTCCCTAGGCTGCACAGTCAGTGCTGATTTCTCTTTTTGAACTAAATACCCCAGAGTTTACAATGTTGCTAGGTGCTTTACCAAAAACTTTTCAGGATGGTGCCACAAAGCTGCTTCACAATCACCTCCGGAATACAGGAAATGGTGGCCAGGTAGATTCATTTTCCTATTAAAATAATTTAAAGTTTTAATAATGCAGTTAAAGTTCTAAAACGCTTATCTAAAAGAAATGATGTATTTCATTATGCATAATTTATACATTTAATTTTTTTGAGATGCTATGCTTCTGTACAGGATGGATTATACTTACTCTGAAAACACCGGTCAGCAGTGACTAGGAATGCATTTGCACAGCTAAGGCCTTAACAGATATGTCAGATTCGGCCGTAGAGACGTATGCCTTAATCACATGCCATTTGAATTACAGTACTGTAATGTGCTCTACAACAACAATTCTTTATTGATTAGTCAATTTTGACCATATCAAAACATGCAAAACATACAAAACATACACATACAGTAAAACTATATATGAATACAAGGCATCATGGCCTACTGGCCTGTCGACACACTCCTAAATAATTGAACAACTACAAGATAAAGAGGTTAAAAGATTAAAAATTGATTAATTCCTTAAAATAGGGTTAGGGTGGGGGGCATGGGTAGGTAAAACTAGTGGCGTGTCCATATTAAGTTTTTAAGTTTGAGTTTTGTTGATGGCAGCAAGGTCGCCTCTCTCTGCTTCCATCTTCTCACGGATGGCCAGCGCCTTTTGAGTAAAAAGGGTCAAATTTTAAAATAGAGTTTTTATCTGAACCCTGAAGAAGGATGTGCAATTTCTCCTTATTCTCTGAATAAGTATGGTTCTCCAGCAGAGGCTCTAGGTAGTAAGACATATGTCAGATTTGGCCGTAGAGACATATGCCTTAATCACATGCCATTTGAATTACAGTACTGTAATGTGCTCTATGACAACTGCCTTTGAAATATGTTGGGAAAATTTAGTTCAAAGATTTGCAACCAGATAGTTAACCAGGGCTGGCTAGAGGGAGCACACAACATATTGTGTTAGCTCCGGGCATGGTTCAAAGTGCTGGTTATGACCTGCAAAGCCAAGTGTGACTTGGATCTGGGTTATCTGAAGCACCATACTCTCTCCTATGAGCCACCCATGTTTTGAGGTCTTCTGGGGAGACTATCCTTTCTGTCCTACCACTTCACATGTTCATCTGGTGGTAACACAGGAAAGGGCCTTCTTGGTGGTTGCCCCCAGGATTTGTTAAAGTGTAACACTGGTACTCTCCCTACTTTCCTTTTGAAGGCAGAGAAAGAAGGTCTTTTGGGGCCCTTCCAGAGAGGCCCTATATCCCAGGATCTGATCCCAGGTTTCCTGTTTATTTGGCAGTGCAGACTCATATAATTTAGTTCAAGGCAGAAAACCTGGAATCATTTCCTGGAATATAGGGCCTCTCTGGACTGGCCTCTTGTTTTCACAGCGTTTTGATGGCCAATTGCTCTCAAACATATACTGAGTTGTTTATCTATTGTTTTTCTTCTTAATTGTTAGATTTTAATTTTAATTATATTGTTTGTTTAATTATACTTTAAATGTTTCTTAAATGGGTTTTACAATTGTTACAGTTTTCTCTGTCTTAACATTTGTAAGCTGCTTTCAGTCCCAGTAAATTTTTTGTGCATGATTTTTCTAAAGCATTGTATTTTGTCATACCAGTTCATTTGCATACCAGTCTCAATCTAAGTATGAGAAGAAGTCTTCATGTGCTTGTCTGATTTATATGTTGAACATAGAACATTTTCAATTACAGAGTTCAATGGGAAGCCCCTTAACAAGGCCTGTTCCACGCTCACCAGCCAGTTGGTCTAGTCCCATCACTTCCCCAACGAATACATCCCAAAATACTTTGTCACCAAGGTAAGAAACCAATGCTTTATCCAGTTGAATACAAGGCATCCATCCATTGGTGGTGGTAACTGGAGGGAAGGGCCAGGGTAGCGATTTCCACTCACTCTTCCTTCCTTTTACACTTTTACAGGCTCCAATGCCATGTTCTATTTTTGAGTCTCCAGGGCATATATGTTAAACTCAAAGGATGTCAAACCATGGGCTGAATCCGGTCCACCATGTCATTTTATGTGGCCCTCCAGATATTGAATTAAAACACCTGTATTCCTCATCATTAGACATCATGATTAGAGCTGATGGGAGTTGTGATACTGTAGCATCTGGAAGGCTGCAGTTTGTTTTGTTAAGTCTGGAAGTGGTGTTTGAATTTAAATACTAGGCTTGTGGACATGAAGTCTGACTTTAAAATGTCCTTTAACCTTTCCCAACCACAGAGTCACAAGTGCTGTTGGGATGCAATTCCCAATATCCTCGACCCACATGATGGATAATCAGAAGTGATGGGAGTTTCATTCAATAATATCTGAAGGCCTAAACTAAGTAAAAACTAAAGAGCACCAACCACTATGTAAAACAATTATAGTTGAACCTCTGTATCCATAGATTCAGTGGCCCTTGGAAGACAGCTATAAGGCAGATGTGGTCTTCGAGGTAGTTTGATATCCATAGTCATTATTTTCAGGGCAAAGTGGACTGCAGTGATGACAGTAACAAAAATCGGCTATCCCCATTCCATGTACAAGATCATCTGGTTTGAAAATCTGCAACAGTGGATCTAATATAGTCTATCTTTGTGATTTACTCTCAACAAATTGGGTTTCTAACTAAAAGTAATCTCCATAGATATTTTGATTTTAACTTCAGTAAAACTATAGTTCTGGAATGTTCAAAGGTCAAAAGCCATATTGCCTATCTTCCTTCTTGCCCCAGGAATACTTAGTGCCTTCATTTTGATTTGTCCACGATAATCCCCACTACAAATGGCAGGCTGCGTTTCCATAATTATGCTGCAATATTTCATTTTCTTAATTAGGAATTTGTTTTGTCTTCTGCGTCATGTTACAGTAGCAGCCTTCCCCTTTATTTTTTGCTCCCCAAGTATTTTGCTTGCAGATATGTTAAAACTCGCTGGTAATTGACATGACATGTACACATTTAATCTACTATAATATAGATGGGTTCCTGAATGAAATGCATACAACAAAAATACCACTTGTATAACATAAACAATGATATAATTCAACAACAGTATATAAATATGCTGGACTGTTAACCTCACAGCGACAACAAACAATATGGTGCAGATTTTTAGTACAGTCGTATCTTCTTATAAGTAGCTTGTGGATCAGCCGACCACGACCGGTTTCGGCCTACCGGTAGACTCCTGCAGAGGTGAGAGGATCCCTCTTGTCCTTTGCTGAACGTAGCTGAATGTTGAAGAGTATCAGGGAAGGGGATATGGAAGAAGCAGTACAAAAGTAAAGAATTACTTTATCATCTGACATATAAGAACAACAAGAGGGATCCTCTCAACTCTGCAGGAGTCTACCTTATACCATGCAGCTGTGGACAAGTCTACATAGGGACCACCAAACGCAGCATCCCAAACACGAATCAAGGAACATGAAAGGCACTGCAGACTACTTCAACCAGAGAAGTCAGCCACAGCAGAACATCTGATGAACCAGCCTGGACACAGCATATAATTTGAGAACACAGAAATGCTGGACCACTCCAACAACCACCATGTCAGACTACACAGAGAAGCCATTGAAATCCACATAGCATGTGGACAATTTCAACAGAAAGGAAGAGACCATGAAAATGAACAAAATCTGGCTACCAGTATTAAAAAACTCTAAAATTACAGCAAAAACCAGCAGAGAGGAAACAACCAGGCACATCTTAACACCTCTCAACAAAAGATTTTCCCAGGCTCAGCCAGGCCTTCAAATGCTAATGAAGGTGGTCAGTTGAAACATTCACAACTAGCTCTAACAGACAAGAGTTCTTTGTCCCACCCTGGTCATTCCACAGATATATAAACCCATTTTCCTAGTTCCAACAGACCTCACTACCTCTGAGGATGCTTGCCATAGATGCAGGCGAAACGTCAGGAGAAATGCCTCTAGAACATGGCCCTATAGCCCGAAAAAACCCACAAGAACCTAGTGATTCCAGCCATGAAAGCCTTCGACAATACATCAGCCTAAAGTGGTGTCTGTTTAAAAAACCTTTATTGTGTTTTTGTTGTTGTTGTTCTACAGTGCATTTGATTATGACACAGAAAACATGAATTCAGAAGATATTTATAGTTCTCTCCGCGGAGTGACGGAAGCCATTCAGAACTTTAGCTTCCGCAGTCAAGAAGATATGAATGAGCCAATAAAACGAGATTCCAAAAAGGAGGATGTCGATTCAGTGAGTATTTAAATTACATGGTGGGGGCGGGATCATTTTTAAAAAATCTCCAAGTTGTAGTTTGGGAGGGAAAAAACCAAAGAGATCCCTACTGCCACATTAATGCTTCCCATGGAAAAAAGGCATTTATGCAGTAGCCAGGGGCAATAGGGTGGTGCTGTGAAATAATTAAATCATGAAGCCAGGATTATAGGGACAACGAAGTAGACAAAACAAGAATTTTAAAAGTTTGTGTGTTAGTAAAGTATTTCTTCCCTTCATATGCTTTTATGATGCAAAAAGGATGGATGTGGGTGGGTGTATGTAAATATGTGTTTATGTGTACACATGCTCAAAAAAAGAACCTGATTTGAAATCGCTATAACTCTGCCATCACAAACTGACTATGAATTAAATTTTTACCACTTCAAAGGATGGAACATAGAGTTTCAAATGATTGCTGCTGGATGCCTCTCCTAGCACACAAACAGATCCTAGCCTCAGTCATTCACAAAACGGAGCCCCCAACATACGGCATTTTGCATTCTGCAATTCAGCAAGACTGAATCCATAATGTGATGCAGCGTGCATTTCAGTGGCTTGCTTATTTTCAATCAGCCTGGCTATTGCCAGTTAATTGTAACATGCACAAAGAGTGTTTCAAAATGATGGATCCACACATATACACACCTCCTTTGTCTCCCCTAATTCTTCTAATATTTAATACTTTAGTATAATCAGGAATTGAAGTTTTGTCTGTTTTGGTGCATTCTCTTATTTCAATTTTAAATCTAGCCCCAAATTAAAAGAAGTGATACCCATCCTTTGGAACTCTTTACCAAAGACAGTGAGGAGCAGAGATATAATGAATAATTGATACCTTCTGAATGCCTTCTTTGATTATCAAGGCTCAAAATGACTCTTAAAGATTATAAATATATACATTTTGTCTGATTTTTTTCTATCCATGTATCTCTTTTCACTCTTTAGATTTGCAGTGGGTCTGGAATAGTGGATCTGCGAGCAGGAGGTGGGTCCGCTGATACAGGCCGAACAGCTCTTGACAACAAAACCTCATTACTTAACACAATGCCTCCTCATTCTTCCCCACGGTCACGTGAATATAATCCATACAATTACTCAGATAGTGTTGGTTCTTTTAATAAATCAGCTTTGAAAGAGGCCATGTTTGATGATGATGCAGAACAGTTTCCTGATGGTAAGTCAATCATGATTCGAAGAGTATCAGGGAAGGGGATATGGAAGAAGCAGTACAAAAGTAAAGAATTACTATATCATCTGACATATAAGAACAACAATCTCATGGGCAGAGGAAGCTTCTAGCCAATATCTGGAGATATGATAAGCCAAATGAAAATCAGGAGTAGAATCCAAAATGCTGACATGAAAACACAGATAATTATATTAAATTTAGCCAGCCCTCCACATTTGCTATAGTTAGATGTGCAGGACCTCTGCAAAAAGTGGAAAAACCATGAATAAAAAAACTGTAGACCAATCCTGGATCTACATGGTATTTTCCCATAAGGACATAGATTTCCAGATGGAAGGTTGTCACAACAAGGATTTGCTTGACATGCTTTTGTCTTGGCACATTTCTCCCTTTTGCCCTCTATTTGTGTCTCTTCAAAATCCATGGTACTTTTGGTAACAACTGACTTCCAATTAGAACACTCAAATGCCAGGGCTTCCCAGTTCATAGTGTTTGTACAACATTTTAAAGTTAACTTTAAGCCCATCTTTAAATCTCTTGATGTCCATCAACATTCCATTTCTCGTTCTTGAACTGATATAAAGTAACTACTGTACTGGAGAATCTATAAATGCCTTGAAAAGTGTTTTCTCTACTAGAGTACTTCGAGATACCTAGAAAAAACATATTAGTCAATATGCAAATAACAAAATCTGCAAAAGCTAAACCCACAAATGTGGAGGACTAATAGTAGTGACTTAAACAAAACTCAAGCTTTCTGTATACATTTCTTAATTTTTTAAATGTTGAAGATTTTGCCTGTTTTTGGAACAAAGACAGTAAGGCCAAGTGAGATCCAGTGAAATACATATCTAAGGGGGGAAAGCACAATAATTTCTTATACAGATGGAATCAGAAAAAAACCCCAGCCTGCATTTCCCAATCTGCATAGTAATACGCTGCGCTTGTCACACAATAAAGCCAGACCTCAATTTTTTAAACAAGTGACATATTTTTCTGGCAATCTGTTTTAAAGTTGAGCACAGTTAGTTGGTGCATCTCTGATTGTGGTACTCTTAAAACTTTCATTTTGAAAAACATGTACTTCCTTGAACTTTTCTATGCATACTGTAATGTTGAGCTTTCCAAATATTTCATGTTGGTGACACACTTTTTAGAAATGCATCATTTCACATCACAATAATTCTGTTTTACTAGCAAGCCAGAGGTTTAACCAGGGGTCTCCAAACTAAGGGCCATGGACCAGATGCAGTCCTCCAAGGTCATTTATGAATTATTGCATTTTTCACTTAGTATCAGAGGTTTCTCATTACATTCATGCAACACACTGCAACCAACACACTAACGTGTTTTGACACACAGTTTGGAAAGCTCTGCTGTAATGATTTCTAGGCATATTCCTTTGCTTTCATGTCAGCATCCATGGTGAGCCCTGGATAGGTTCTCGCTCAATCCATTAGAAAAGCTAGTACATTTCTGACGATCCGGTTTACAGAAATGAGAGAGAAGTAGTGCAGGGTTTATCTTTTCTTCACATTTTCACAGTGTTAGAGATTTAATTCTGTGTTTTCAAAAATATGCTTCAGAGTGCACTGGAACCTTGAAATCAGGCTGTGTTCAGGGCCAAGTTATATTTTGTCCCAGTCTGAACTACTAGATAGTAACAATAAAAGAGATTGAAAAAAAAATGCTCTCAACTCTCTTGTTTGTCTAACGTAAGTCCAAGATTCATTCTGCTCAAGGGTTGGATATGTCTTTTCTCACTTGTCATTTAGAATATTTAGGGATATTTTGGCTAGAATCAGTTATTCCCACATGTATAGTAACTACCTGTAGGAAGGGGAATGCTTTTTACTTGAGACTCTGTCAGCCTTCCTTCAAAGAACTTGCCACCCATTCAGATCACCCGATAGACAGAGAATTTGACAGATATAATTTCCCAAGCCAATATAGCAAATAAACTAAAATGGACTAACACTAAATGAGCTGTGAGTTTTCCATCCAGGAGGATGCTTGTTAGATCTTCTGCCAATCATTTCAAAATCACACCTTTTACATCAGAGAATGCTTAAATGAGCTGTTTTTGATAGCTTTCGTTTTTGTTTGGCCCAGAACCCCCCCTGGATCATTCCGACCTGGTTGCAGAATTGCTGAAGGAATTATCAAACCATAATGAGAGAGTTGAAGAAAGAAAAGCTGCTCTGTATGAACTAATGAAACTGACTCAAGAAGAGTCATTTGGTGTTTGGGATGAACACTTCAAAACAATTCTCCTCCTATTACTTGAAACCCTTGGGGACAAAGAGGTGAGACCCTAAAATGATAGTGATTGGATTTCCTGGAATTGAAACAAATATTGATACTAATCCCCCATGAAAATGTATCGCAGTAATATTATAAATCTTTGCCTCAGTAGTATTTTGTTTTCTTGATATGGCCCCTGTACACACATGTAAGTATAGTAGTGCATCCCCTCTTTCATTTAAATAGGTCATTTTCATCACTATTGTATATTTTTAATTTATATATAGTACAATTGATCAGAGTGCCATAAATATGTTCAAACTCTGTTGTTACAATTTCTAACATCAGTAGAGGCCTTGGATGCTCATGCAACTAACATTCTTTGTTGCAATTGTAGTTTTGTTAGATATGCTGTTTTAGTATACAATCTATCCTGATTTTAGTACTAAGTAAACATGGCATTCACTGCAAATGTTCTACAAGAATGAAAGGTGACTAGGTGGGTACCAGATTCGGTCTGATCTTGACAGCTAAGCAGGGCTATCCCTGGTTAGTACTTTGATAGGAGGCTGTAAATGAATACCAAGATATAGGCTATATTTCAGTGGAAGGAACTGACAAAATAACTTCTGCATATCTCTTCCTTAAGTTAACCCTATGAAATTCATGATTTAGTTATAAGATGACAGACAACTTGAAGGTACATTTGGAAAGTCCCATATTTTGTAGACTTTCAAAGAGAGGGCTTAAATGCTGCATTCAGTTCTGGTATTCATAATTCTGCTGTTCAAAATAATTAGGATGAAGATATGGAGTAAAGATTAAATCAAATATATTTAAATTTTTCAGCATGCAATTAGAGCACTGGCATTGAAAGTCTTAAGAGAGATTTTAAGGCATCAACCAGCAAGATTTAGAAACTATGCAGAGCTCACGATCATGAAGACTCTAGAAGCTCACAAGGATCCTCACAAGGAGGTTTGTACCCTGTTTAGTGGGATTTTGCTGTGCTCAAGGATGTGATTGAAGTTTTCACTGTGCTGTTCAAACAAATGAAAATTCATCCTAAGAGTACTATCAACTTATAGAATCATAGAGTTGGAAGAGACCTCATGGGCCATCCAGTCCAACCTCCTGCCAAGAAGCATGAAAATTGCATTCAAAGCACCCCCAACAGATGGCCATCCAGTCTCTGTTTAAAAGCCTCCAAAGAAGGAGCCTCCACCACACTCCGGGGCAGAGAGTTCCACTGCTGAACAGCTCGCACAGTCAGGAAGTTCTTCCTAATGCTCAGATGGAATCTCCTTTCTTGTAGTTTGAACTTGAGATTCTTAGGTTTACTGTCCAAAATAAATGCCTGGCACATACACACATACTATAGTTTTTGTGAAGCAGTACTATTTCTTGGTAAGGCCGAAGGGCACCCTTTAATATGAGTTTCAGCAATCAATGTTGTAATCTAAAATATATTTCCTTCTTGAATACAGATTAGGAATCCCTTATCTAGAATTCCAAAATCTAAAATACCGCCCAAATTGTCCTTGTGGGTGACTGAAATAATGACATTTTCCCCTTTTGGGTGGCTCAGTGTACATAAACCCTGTTTCATGCACGAAGTTATTAAAAGATACTGTGTATAAAATTAGTGTCAGGCTTTGGATATAAGGTATATATGAATCATTAATGAATTTTGTGTTAAGACTTAGGTCCAGTCTCCAAGAGATCTTATGATCGAAATCTGGAAAAAACTTTAATTCCAAAACACTTCTTGTCCCAAGCATTTTGAATAAGAAATATTCAACCTGTATCAGTAGGATGTAATATTAATATTAATATACATAGGCCCCTGAAGTAATCATTAGCACTGGCCTTGTCTAGTGTTAGTTGGAACAGAAAATTCGTATTTCATTGCATCAAAAAGGGGGTGCAACTATTATGTGATGAAAAAGAATCTTCCTTTGATTCTTTGGGTTTTTTTTTAAAATTAACTGCTGTACCTCTGAGACAGGAGGAGGAGGTGGGATGATCCAGCCTCAGACAAATAGCTCAATTTCTGTTTTGTTTATTTTTTTAAAAACTGCCTTGCCTTGAAAAAGGAGGAGGGAAGATTCCCCTTCCCTTCCTTCTTTCTCTGAAAGCAAGGCAGTTTACAAAATCTGAAATGGAGCTCTTTGGAGAAAGAAGGAAGGAGGGAAGATCCAAGTTCCAGAGATTTCTATTTCAGGTTGTTTTAGCTGCCTTTCCTTGGCAGAAGGAGGTAAGAGCAAAGCTCCAAAAACCTCCATTTCATAATTTTTAGACTGCCTTACCTTAGGAGAAAGAAAGAAGAAAGAGAGAATCAGCCTGAAATAACTACAACTATTATGTAAGGAACACAAAAATACACAATTTTGCCACCTAAAAAATGGAGGCATGGCTATTACGCAGTGGCATGGCTATTATGCAGTGGCAACTATAGGCTGAGAAAGGTGGTATAGTAAATAAATAAATAAATAAATAAATATGCTATGAAATATGGTATTTTTTTTCCAATTCAGAATTTTGGTGCAATTATACGCCTCAACAGTATAGAACACGTTTCTATGCCACTCAGATATCTTTATCTAAGATAGTATTCCTGTACTTTGTATCATTGCTACCACTCTACATGCCCTGTTCTGTATCCCACCAGTGACATCAATGTTGTGGCCCCCAGATGTGAAGTGCCAGCCCTTTGGGGCCTGAGATATAAGATTCTGTATTTTGACATCAAGTAAAATCATGGCTTTCCAAATCTATACATGACTCTAAACTGTTTTAGTTTTACAATTTTAAATTTATTATGCTTTTTGACAATTTAAAATTTTACTTACTACTGTATTTTTTAAAAAATTACATGTTCTGAATGGCTTACACATTTTTCTACATCACAGCAAGAATCAATAACTAAATAACCCCTATTTACCATTTCGTCCTTTATTCAATCCTGTTTTTTATATGGCATGCTTTGAAAAAAATGCAAAATTCACTTTTATAAATTATAAAGAAGCAATTCAAGGTGTGTCTCATTACCAGATTCTAATGTAAGATAAAGGATTCAAATGAAATTCATGGTTTAAATATCTGAGTTAACTATGAATCCTCCTGTTTTCAAGCAGGATTCTCTCCACCTCTTCTCCTAGTCCTTTTTTATTGTGACAGAAGCTAACTGAGAATGCACTGCAAGTTGCTTCTGGTTTGAGAGAATTGGCTGTCTGCAAGGACATTGCCCAGGGGATGCCCAGATGTGTTACCATCCTATAGGAGGCTTCTTTCATGCCCCGCATAGGAAGCTGGGGCTAACAGGTGGGAGCTCAACCTGTCTTGCGGATTTGAACTTCTGACCTTCAGGTCAGCAGTTCAATCCGCACAAGGGTTTAACCCATTGCGCCACAACAGCTCCTCAGTAGGTGCAATTGAAATATCCAAATCCTTGATCGGTAATTGCAGAAATACATTATTTCATTGTTTGGAGAGAGAAATTTTGTAGTCTTAGAAGTCTGAATGCTTTTTTGGAAATGCATCTTCACTATCATTAAAATGCTGCCTCCTTGAGAGTTATTTGACTTAGAATGAATTCCTTGAGCATTTAAACTATTAAGCCACAAGTAATATTGAACCAGTGCAGTTTAATGGTTTCTCAATGTTTCTGTTTAATTTTTCAGGTGGTCAGATCAGCTGAGGAAGCTGCTACGATGCTTGCCACATCCATTAGTCCTGATCAGTGCATCAAAGTACTTTGTCCCATTATTCAAACAGCCGATTACCCTATAAATCTGGCTGCAATCAAAATGCAGACTAAAGTGATAGAGAGAGTATCTAAAGAAACACTTGCTCAGCTCTTGCCAGAAATAGTACCAGGTCTAATACAGGTAAGAAGGTATAAAACATGCACAAATATATACAAAAGAGAAAGAAATTGTGTGTCTTACAAAAAGTTAGAGTTTAAAACCTAGAATCTAAAGAACCTTTTCATTGAGTACGTTTGACCCAAATATTTTCCTTTTTAAGCCACTTGTTATCCTGTCCCCATCCCCTAAGTAATTTCAGGAATCTTATCATTTAGTTTCCAGCCTAAGTAACATTCTTGAAGGAAGTAACTTTAAATATTTTTTATTTAACTAATATGACTTTAATGACTGACTTTTCTCTGTTCCCAGGGCTATGATAACTCGGAAAGCAGCGTTCGGAAGGCTTGCGTCTTCTGTCTTGTAGCCATTCATGCAGTGATTGGGGATGAGCTAAAACCACATCTCAGCCAACTCACTGGCAGCAAAGTAAGTGGAGACTTGTCAGACCCAAAAGCCTAAATTGGTTTCAGGCACTTACTACAAAAAGGGTGAATACAGGGGCAGAATAGTCGCTTTATTTTATGTGAAACACTCCGAACATTTTTGAAAAAGAAGGCTGTATAAAAAAATCTTAACTATATGCCTATTGGTGTATTGGGCATAAAAGAAGGGTTGAAATACTTCCTAGTTTAGAGCAGATGATACCCCAGTTTATACAAGCAGTGGATATTTGTCAGACTACTATTTCAAGCAGCAGATAAGGTGCTGCCACACATAAAAAATACAAACAAATCTTCTATGGAGATGGAACCCAAAAGACAGTTGTATCTGTCAAGTAGGAAAATTAGGTACCACCTATGTGTGGGGAGGCTAATTTAACTAATTTACGAGTCCATAAAAAAGACTCCAGCAAAGCATTCCAGCAAAAAACATGCGGGGAATGCAGAAGTACTTCATCAGTGTCACAGATGGATGATAAAAGCGACAGCTCCCCCGGCGGCCAGAAAAGTTAAATAGCCTCTGACTATTTGCCAATATATGTTGTGTGTCTTTGGCATGGAATGTTTGCCATATATGTGTACATTGTAATCTGTCCTGAGTCCACTGCGGGGTGAGAAGGGCGGAATATAAATACTGTAAATAAATAAATATATAGTAGTAGATTATGTCATAGTGCCATGCTAGTAAGTAAATAAGTAAAACTTTATTTCTATCCCGCCCTATCTCCCCATGGGGATTCGGGGCACTTCACAACATAAAAGGCAAACATTCAATGCCGTAAAATACAACAATAGACTAAAACAATTCAAAATAAAAACAATAGAGCATTCGACAATAAAGCAAATCACATTAAAGCAATAATAAATTACATGGTGTTAATAAAACAAAGTTAAAAGCCGTGTGTAAATTCCATTCCTTATTTCATAGAATAGCACAGCCATGGGCAAATTTCAGATCTCCGGGTGTTTTGGACTTCAACTCTCACAATTTCTAACAGCCTACCAGCTGTTAGGAATTGTGGGAGTTGAAGTCCAAGATACCTGGCGCGCTGAAGTATAGCAGAACCTATATCTAGTCTAGCAGAACCCATATCTCTGACATGCTGATTGTCTGTGTGCAGAGCTTTTCCCTGTAAGGCAGCGTTCAAACACCCAAAAGAATCCTGCATAGGTAGCTTAGGAAAAAAAAATTCTTTGCTCTGCAAATTACTTTTAAAGACTTCATCACATCAGAGGGAGGAAACCAGGAGGTAGCATCTTCTTCCCATCATGTTCCATTTTGAAAGAAGACAGAGAATTTACTTACCCCATCACACAGGATGCACTTCTGCCCGTTTCTAGTTAAACCATGTATTCCATTCCTCATCACACATCTATCATCCTTTTTAAATAAGTTGTTGTTGTAACCGCACAATTTCAAACCTTTGAAATTCTGTAACTGAACAATAAAAAAACAAAACGCCCTGTGACACGGACACTTGTTGGGCGGCGGAATGAGAGGAGGCAGCTGTTGTCTTCTCCCATTGTATCATCTCCAGAGTGATCATGTCACAGGTTGGTTTTTCCCCATTTTTAAAAAAAAAAATGGAATTATTTACAAGTCCTTTTCTGTGTCCTGAGAGATATGGCAGCTGCATCAAGGGGTACAAAAAGACCACCCATATGCACACCCTCACTGAAACATCACTAAACAAACTGAAAACAATCAAATGCCTCATATCCCATCCCACAGAAAAATAAGCTTTTCTAAGAGTACATAGACAAGTGGAGTCAATTCCTGTCTGACTTTCAAACCCACTCCTTTCTACATGCTGTAGAGACAGAATCCCACTGCCAATTCATGGAACGAGTTGTGTGTCGTTCTGTGGGATCACTGGGATTTTGTTTTTAAAGGATATTAGTACAAGTATGGGCAAACTTTGGCCTTCCAGGTGTTTTGGACTTCAACTCCCACAATTTCTAACAGCCGGTATAGAAACTGAGGCCATCCTCCATCTGATGAGGTCCTATCATTTCTGTAAAGGAAGCAATGATTTTCCACTAGAAGAATAAGCCATGGTTCTTTCTCCCTCATTTCATCTTTCACACCTGTAGAATGAATAAAAATTTCTTCATGGCATGTCACCCTAACCAGTTTATTGTGACATTGCAACTTGATATTGATTTAAACAAATCATGTAACCCTTTAGATACACTATGTGACACGATTTTGTTCCTGGGTTATAAATATCATTTTCTAATTGGTTCTATTTTAAATTCATGGGGGAAAAGTTTATTAAGCTTTGTTTTGTGGGATATCCTGCAGCACATTTGCTATAGTTTTTCAATAAATATCTCACCGAGTCTCAGCCAATTCAACATAATTTGTGGCAGCCACAAAAGCCAAGTTTTTGGAATATAACAATTACTTTCAAAGTAAGTACTGCACAGTTAAACAGGAATAACACTTTCAAACCAGGAACAAACAAAAATCAAATTTTGTTATAATGTGTAATGTTAGTTTGCAAGCTCCCAGCATTTCTCACTATTGTTGGTGTTGGCTGGAACTGCTGAGAGTTACAATCCAATAGTGTTTGGAGTATCACACAACTCCCATTCTTGGTTTGACCGTGGTTGATAAAATTCACCCAGGATCAAACCATGGTTTTGAATTCTGATTCCCAAACAGCAGTTTTTTTTATAGTCAGGTAATTTAAAACAGGTAGCTTCTCTTCCTAGGTGCCAGTAAGGAATATTCAAGCCTAGAGTTAGTAGCAACCCATTCACATAGCAGGAAAACACGTTCTAACCTTTCATTAGAAGTTGTTAACAAGTGTTGTTGTTATGTGTCTTCAATCATTTCTAGCATACAATAATTCTAAGGTAACTCTATAACGTTTTTTCTTGGAAAAAATTGTTCAGAGGCAGTTTGCCAGAGGGAGTTTAAATATTGTTCAAATATTTAATTATGGCTATCATGTTACCTCTTAATCCACTCCTCTCCAGGTTAAACATACTCAGCTTCCTAAAACAGGCCTCATAGAATGTGGCTTCCAGATCTTTCAAGCCAAAGTCTGCTGCAGTCCTACTTCACACTCAGACCATGATACTATACTACATTACATTTAAGAAGAGTATTCTCTTTTTGGAAAATATTAGCATGATTATTTCACAAATGATGTTGAAATAGTTACGTCTTTCACTTTGAACAACTAGTTTATAATTCACAACCAATTATCTGTCTTTTTCCCATTGTATGCAACTGTATACATACAGTTGGCCTATACATTTGGAGTTTTCACTTTTGCAGATTTGATTATTCACAGATTAATGTATTTCCTTTAGGAATCTCTAGGTCCTCCAGTATGACTATGCTTAGCTTCAGCTATATAGTTGTGCTAGAGCAGAGCTTCTTAAACTGGGGTCCCGACCTCAAATGAGACCACCTTCCTTCTCCCCAACTGCGCTCCATTTCTTGAAGGAAATCTGACTTCTATTTTGTTATTTTAAGGATTGCACCTTAACTACTTGCAGAATTTTGTTTGCAATAGGTTCAACAATACACAGCCTGAAATATATGTGCAGTTTGATTTGTATACCTATATTTATATAACTGGGGTCACATAAAACTTTCTTGGCCAAATGGAAAAGGTTTAAGTAGGCCATAAATTCCTAGAGAGGTGGGTGTTCCCTCAGGGAGAAAAGGTGCTTTGTTATTTGAGGTGTTTCTACTTCTATGTTGCTCTTGTGCCCCTAATCCCAGTGAATACAGAGGGATGGCTGTATTTTTACTGCTTTTGTCTTTATTGTTTAATGAATAAGCGACCCAAATTGAGGTGGAAATCTTGTGATCTTAAAATGGCAATGACTACTGATCAAGATGTTTACTGAATTAAATCTGCAGATGAAGTTGTTGAATCTCTACATCAAACGTGCCCAAACAGGATCTGGAGCAGGCGATGCATCCGCAGACGTTCCTGGACAAAGCTAGTGATGCTTCTGCCCGCATGATAGGTCATAAGAAGAAAACTCACATCAGTAAAAGGAAAAGTCTCAAACACACATTTTGGAACTCTTCATTTTTGTTGGGGTGGGGTTTTTTCTGTTTTGTTTTTTCCCCCTTGATGGAGGGCTACTCTCAGCCTGCATGTGACTGTTGCAATTATTACATATCCAAAGGAGAAAACAGTATTAATATTCCTTGATTGAAAGAGAATACATTTTTAAAATCTAATCCATCCTGTTTTCTGTTCAAACTACTCTGCGTATCCCATTGATTTTTTTATCAGTGTTACTGTACATTTTTTCTTTTTTTAAAAAAAAACTAATTAAACGGGAATGCTTTAAGCTTTAAAAGCTAAAATCTAAATTTCTTTGTTTTCATTCACCGGCAAAGTAACACAACTCCTAATCACTGTTCTTGTTAAAGTACCTTTTTGCTGGGACACATGAAGTGGTAGGACAGAACAAAGCTGGACTGGTCCGAATGCAGCTAGGTTAGACCATTGTACTGGATAATATGCATTGTGATATGGAAGTCTTGACTCGCATAATTGAGTCCTGAAGCCAAGCAGTGCTCATGAAAACTGGATTGATCTAGCTCTGTAAAAGTTGTTATGGTTCACTGTTGAATATATTTGCTCCATAAAGAAAACAAATCATTGTGAACTAGGAGGATTGGTCTGGGTGTGGGATTCATTCGTATGGGAGTCGTTCAATTCATAACGTGACGTTTCTGGAACGAAGATTGTGTGACACTCTGCTTTTCCAGCAGTGGTTAAGCAAAGTCCGTTAATGGATATGAATCCTCCTTGTCACATTGTCAAGCAGGATGCTTCAGAGTACAGCGCTCTGCACAAGCATGCTCAGTATGTATTTATCTTTATCACTAGAATGTTACCTCTCAAACTAATTACTGGAACTGGTAGTTCTATCATTTTAACTCTCATAGGGATATATATATATGACAGCACTTCAGAAAAAAAACTTCAGCAATTACTTTTTGCAAGAATTAGGGTTTCTGCACTGATTTGGGGGGAGGGGGGGCCTCCAGGAAGACTCACAAGCACTAGAGACCTTTGACACCATGGGTTTTGCATTTTAATTTCAACGGATGGGAAATGGCACCAACTATTGCATGGTTATCTTGAACTGGTGTCATCCATACCATCCAGAATGAGATGTGGAAATGTTTTCAGGTTGTTTCTGTATCTTTTAAAAACTTTATTGTGAATAATGAATGCATCTTTGTATTTATGGACTCCAGAACTGAAAGAGAGAATGAAAATCCAGTAGATGCCCCCAAAAACTTCTGTTTCTCCGATGTAAACATCAGGCTTCTGTACTGAGAGAGGAGTGACATCAATTCAGCACCCTTCTCACAATGGCTAGAACCTAGATTTTGTGACCATAGTTGCATCATCTAGTTTTAGGAATTGTGTATTTGCAAGAGAGAAGATGATAGCAGTGCCAAGGATTACTTTTTTCTCTGCTAGGCTCAGTTTCTCTCTACCTCTTCAGGGTGAATACTTTTGACTAAGCTGCTACCCATTATGTCTTGTGGAAAAACTTATCTATAGAAATATTTTTTTATTTTATTTTGGTTCCTTTTGCTGTTGCGTATTCAAAGCCCAGTTCTTTCACATGCAGCCAAATATCATTTTTAAAAAAAATAAAAATAAAAACTTTACTGCTAATTACCTTATAAGACGAATTAAAAATTACATTTAAATAATTTAATAAGTTACTTGGACTTGGATCAGAGAAAGATAAGATGTGATTATTGAAGAAGAGATGTGTTGTTGCAGAAAACTGTTTATTGGGGAAATATTTTAGAAATATATGTAAAAATAACCCTAACAATTGCATTATTCATCACTTGCTTTTTAGCAGCTGAATCAGGAAAATAGCCTCCCCTTCCTCATTCCCATATGTGTAACATTCTTGTTTTCTACTGTTCTATTACATTGTGTATTTATAGTTCTCTGCTTATCATTGTGCATATACAGGCAATAAAATGTACATAACATTACTTGAAAAATTAATTTGTATACAGCTGCCTTTCTACTTTATTTAGTGATAGATCTTATCATTTATTATACAGTAGTTATTAAAACACTGCCAGTTTCCAAGCCTTTTAACCTGCACATATCATTGTCATGTTGAAGGAAAATAGATAAACAGAAATAAGCTTTCAGTTATAAACATATCCCAGTCCTAAAGGCAACCAAAAACAAGCTAACCCCCATTTGGCAAAATATGTTCCCACCCAATTTCAAAAAACACATAACACTAATGATACATGATCTGTTGCGTTTGACTTTAATGTAAATTCAGTCTATCTGAACCATACTTTCCAGCGCAGCCTAACTTTCATTGGGATATATGTTTATTTATATGGGGAGGCTCATCTCAGCCCGGTAGACCTCTCAGGTTAGGACACAGGGCTGTAAATATAATATACTTGGGGAAAATATATGTGTGTGTGGCTTATTACTACAGTGGTTTTCTTTACCATTTATATATAGCAAAAATTTGGGGGAGCTTCATTACTATTTATTAAGTGTTCTAAATATCTCATAGACAAAGTTCTCTGAGGTGTGGTACAATTCAAAACATGAAATATGCCAAAAATAGAAAACCAGCAAAGTTTAAAGCTGAGCTTTCCAAACTGTGTGTCATAACACATCAGTGTGCCAGCTGCCGTGTATAGGTAATGTCACACAAACATAACAAGAAACCTCAGAGACTATGTGAAATCCTCAATAAATCTATCTGTCTGTGTGTGTGTGTGTGTGTGTATGTATGTATGAAAGCTTTTCATGATATATGTTGTGTCCCCATACATTTCATATTACAGTGTATGTATTACTACAATTTATCTCTTATAAAGTGTTGGTTTAACTTCCAGTTTGTAGGTAACATTGAATTACTGGGTCATGAAATGATGCATGTCTAAAATGTGTCACCAACATGCAATGTTTGGAAAGCTCTGGTTTAAAGGTTCAACAGACACATGACATTATAAAACCACACAACACTGCATAGATTACAAAAACTGAAACAGACAGAAGAAACCAGTGTAAAAGCCAAACCGCAGGGACAGAAAGACCTTGAAGGGCAGAAAAGATAGTAATGAAATGAGTGTGAAATAAGAACTTGAAATTTGATTTTGACCAACACTATAACATTTCATAATGACATGCTCTCCAAATGTTTTCTGTAATGACTCCCACCATCTCTGGCTCTTGGATGTGCTGGTTGGGTCTAATGGAATTTGAATCCCAAATAACTGGAGAGGACTACATAGAGAATTGCTGCTATAAAATAACAACTGAGGTCAGTGATAACATGTTTTGAAGAATGGGTAGCAATGAAGGTAGGTGACCAGGTGTGCCAACCCATGGCTTTTATTGTAAAGGGTAGGTGGTTTCCTGCCCACTGATCACATCCCACATATAAGGATAACAGCATGAAAACATGGTGCTCCATTTCTCCATTCCATCAAATGAATGATTTAGTTCTTTTGAAGTGTTTGGTCTAATTAAAGATAAACTGCATTGTCTCAATTTTTGAATAGAAATGTGTCATCAGACCATTCTTGTGGAGTTTTGACTATTCCATATTTCATGTTAGTCTCTGTTGTAAAAACTTCGTTGTGAAAACTGAGTGAATCAGAGGTCCAGATGTGTGCCTGCTCATCTTGAACTATGCAAGCATTTAAAAGGAAACCATTATTTCAGTTTTATTTTTTCCTTCAATGTGCTAATAGGACTGCTTTGTCCATCTTTGCATATTCCAGAATGAGGCAACAAAGTTTAATAGTTCTCTTTCACAATTCGGATTATGTGCTGTTTTTTACTTATTTACAATACAGAATGGTGATCGGAATTCTGTGGTCATCACATCTGTGATGGAAAGAGATTGACTAAATGCTTTTGATACATTTTCATCTGTATATAGTAAACTTACTTTGACTGGGATTCCGCCAAAAGACCACTGGGTGCCATACATTAGTTAATGCATTTCCAAGTAATCCCCCCAATATTCTGGTGATTGTAGTGATATTCTCTGATCCAGTTTTCAAACTGAATACAGAAATTATTCAGATCTCCTGTTCATTGAGAAATATCAATGTGACATTGACTGATTCTCATGAAATACAGTCCTTAATTCTCGAGCTTTGTTCCCTTTCTCTTGGATTTACCTTCTTCCTGCATTTGTCATATTGGATTATTTTTAACCTCTTTCCCTTTAACTTTACCTTCAGTTTCAAATCAGGGTGCATTATACTTCAGACCTTCAAAGCTTTCATGATGAGATTTCTTTCACTTCTTCCATTTATAATCTGCCCTACATCAGTACACAAGGGTGATGTAGGTAGGTATGTAAGTAGATAGATAGATAGATAGATAGATAGATAGATAGATAGATAGATAGATAGATAGATAGATAGATAGATAGATCTATTTATTGATTAGTCCACTCATATCAACAATAAAAGACAAAAACAAAAATACACAAATAGACACTAATCGCTATGCTGAAACATCTGTAATAGTTAAATAAAATGGGATTAAATTACAAGATGAAAGAAGGTGGAGTAGAGTGAGTGTAAAAGAGTCCTTGGAGAATTTAGATGAGTTCATCACCATGACAAGGGACCCCATTTTGTAAGATAAAGAGATCTCTCAGCCACCTTTTATGATGGATTTGGCTATGCAGTGGATTAAGTGTAGATTCTCCCCAGAAAGAAAATAAGACTCTTGACAATTGGGTCCCAGTTGGTTGTTCTGACCATGGTAAAATGACAGTTTAACTGACCATAATTGTATGTAATTTAAAGGCATGACTACTGGTATTTATTACTAATGGATGAGCGGTTTGCTATATTATCTACCAATTAATATTTATTGATTTTATCAATATTCTGATGAGAAGCACAATTGCTTTGACTTCTATACTGCAGAAGAGAAATGCTGTTTCTTTGTCAATATTTTTTCCAATAAACATTCACATATGTGTGTGTCTGTACACACAAATATGAGAATGTTTACAGACACACATTACCTCTATTTATTTCTTGGTATTAGGACTCCATCATGTATGATTCACTGATGTATTTCAGGTTTTGTTCAGCTCTATCAAGGTAAATAAATCCAGGTTCACTGAAATGAAATCAGGACATTTATATCAAGAAAAATTCCACAGTTAATGAACAATTATCTATGTCTTGTACAGGGTGAGGCAGAATAACTTCCTTTGTATTGTCGAAGGCTTTCATGGCTGGAATCACTAGGTTCTTGTAGGTTTTTTCGGGCTATAGGGCCATGTTCTAGAGGCATTTCTCCTGACGTTTCGCCTGCATCTATGGCAAGCATCCTCAGAGGTAGTGAGGTCTGTTGGAAATAGGAAAATGGGTTTATATATTGTGGAATGACTGGGGTGGGGCAAAGAGCTCTCTGCTGAAGCTAGGTGTGAATGTTTCAGCTGACCACCTTCATTAGCATTTGAAGGCCTGGCTGAGCCTGGGAAAATGTTCTGTTGAGAGGTGTTAAGATGTGCCTGGTTGTTTCCTCTCTGCCGTTTTGCTGTTGTAATTTTGGAGTTTTTTAATACTGGTAGCCAGATTTTGTTCATTTTCATGGTTTCCTCCTTTCTGTTGAAATTGTCCACATGCTTGTGGATTTCAATGGCTTCTCTGTGTAGTCTGACATGGTAGTTGTTAGAGTGGTCCAGCATTTCTGTGTTCTCAAATAATATGCTGTGTCCAGGTTGGTTCATCAGGTCTTGGTTGAAGTAGTCTGCAGTGCCTTCATGTTCCTTGATTCATGTTTGGGCGCTGCGTTTGGTGGTCCCTATGTAGACTTGTCCACAGCTGCATGGTATACGGTAGACTCCTGCAGAGGTGAGAGGATCCCTCCTGTCCTTTGCTGAACGCAGCATTTGTTGGATTTTCTTGGTGGGTTTGTAGATTGTTTGTATGTTGTTTTTCCTCATCAGCTTCCCTATGCGGTCAGTGGTTCCTTTGATGTATGGCAGGAACACTTGTGTGCCATTCAGTCGGTTGAAGACGTAGCGGAGCGCTAGTGGTCTCGTTCAAGAGGCGGGTGTCTAAAGTTTTGTCCTGACACAGTTCAGTCACCATCATGCGCTGGAACAGTGAGAAGTGTGCTTTTGCCGTTGAGGCCTACTTTTCGAGCGGATTTGGAGTGGCCGGCCCGCTCTCCAGATTTGGTCCCTTGTGATTTTTTTCTATGGGGTTTTTTGAAATCCCGTGTTTATGTGAATTATCCAAGGACCCTACAAGATTTGAAGACCAACATCCAGGAAGAAATTGCCAACATAACGCCTGCTATGCTGGCAAGAGTCATGACAAATGCCAGAAATCGGTTTACTCAGTATATGGAGAATGGGGGTCATCACCTACCTAATTTGATCTTCAAAACTATGTAAAACAAAACTTTAGGTATGCACCTACTTTATAAAAAATTCTGATTCATACAATGGGTTTTATTAAGTTTTCAAAAAAGGAAGTTATGCTGTCTCACCCTGTATATGCTTACCTTTATCCTTGGTGACGTCATAGACATCTCCAGTCCATACCTATATAGATTATGGCAGTCCTTTATGATCCACTTTGACATGCTTGAGCAGTGAGGTCTCTAGGCACATCCATTGTGAACCTCATGAGCCTGACTTTGGAAGCAACTGCTTGACTGTCCCTTGAAATACTACACTTTTTTAAAAAATTAGATTTTTATTTGAGAAGAGAAAATACAGTTATATAGACATATACTATAGATTCTCTTTTCTTAAAGTCCCACCAAAAAATCAGTTCTTCATTTGGAGGCAAATTCCCATCTTCTTTTTCCAATAATTTTTCTAGAAATTTTCTCCAGATACTTTCAAAGTCATTTTTTTACATAATTCCTTCTTTACTTTTAAGTTTGTTAACTTATCGTTCAGTGCCATTTTCCAGATTTCTTTATACCATTCATTAATCTGTATTTTCATTGCCCCTTTCCAATATTTTGCAATTAAT